TTAGATGCACTAGCCACTAGGGGTTGTATGAACTAGTCGACTTCACGGCTCTGTAGTGACTTTTTATGCCTGTCATCGACTAGTCGCTGTCACGTGATAATGACTGACTAGATGCAGTCCTCCAGCAGGTGATGAACCCCTGCGTCGGGAGGCAGAGGCGACGCGCTGTGCCAGAGCGTCGGTACTGACACCGGCGGTAAAACGGACATTTAACCAAACTGTGACCTTTTCCCTCTTTACCTTCCCCTCACCCCCATCCTAATCTTAACCAGTTTGCACATGCAAAGCTCTGATCGTTGATGCGCTCCAGACATCTGCGTCCTGAGCACCGCCAAATCAGGTGTCACCACCCCAAAAACAAAAACACGCGATTGTTCATGTCGGCTCATTTCCTTTCATGTTTTCTGTCTGTTATTTGTGCCTGATGCGTTTCGCTGCTGCGGAGCGAGGCGCATCACCTGTTTTGTTCTCCGGTGACGCACCCCCAAAATTCCGCTATCTCCGCTCCGCTCCGGCACAAACTCCGCAGCAAAAACGGTCCTGTTATAGTCGGCCGGCGAGCAGCGAGCACTCCGCTGTTTTTGTGGTCGGTAGATCTTTTAGAACTGCAGTTCGAAGGTAACTCGTGAGGTGAATATATATGAACCCAGGTAGCAGTTTTTCTTTAGGACTGAGAGGAGATGCAGGAAGATAATAAACAGGCAGGACAGAAAAATAGTCAAATAAAAACAAGCTAGTTTTTGTACCTCGTGGTTGCAACAAACAGACACCATTGAAGGTCATCAGAAGTGAGGAACAGAAAATGAAATAATTATTGTAATGTTTAGAGCAGCAGGAACTCCGAGAGGCTGCAGGCGCATCAGTGAGTTTGCGGCCGCTGCGCAGGGGGAGGGGGGAGAGGGCTGAAGCAGAAACTACCGTTGTTAAAAGAAATGTGTTTAACTTAGAAAATGTGGGCGCAATTTTAATTGTCAAAAACTCCAGCAAACCTACCCCCCAGCCCACCCCACCCCGCCGCTTCAGGTGTATGACGTCATCAACGACTAGTCGAAGTCGACTCAATTTTCATTACTTGACTGTCGACTTTAAAAAAAATTAAGTCATGCAACCCCTACTAGCCACTTGCATGACTTAATTTTTTACTATTTATCTGTCTTCTGCTTCACTACAGTGGACGGAGCGCAGCCTCCATGGTGAAATACCCGTCCATCAGGATTATCAATAACTAGTATAAATACATCACATTTATCCCTGTCCCTGTCTTCCTCGTGAAATAAATTAATGTTAATCTTACCCGGTAAAAACATGTTCGCTGCAAATCTGAAGCCTGCTAGTCAGCTTGATTGATTGATCACTGCAGTTCACCTCCGTCCTCAGTCTCCATCAAAGTTATAAAACGAGTTGAGTTTACGTCCTTGTCTCTTAGTGCAGCAAACCACGCAGCAAGCTAAAACCATTTTACTGTCAAATCAACTGAATAAAAGCTATAAAAGGCGACAAACTGGCTTGTTTTGACTACCTTCACTGGAGTTTCTATGGGTGTAAACGGTCTTTTTGCCGTCCATCATGGCAAAAGGGGCGGTCACACGAGTGGCGTGACGTCACGTGCAAAGGGTCAATTATAAATCTGTTATCTTGGATCTGTTTTTGAAGCCCATTGTTGTTCCTCATTTTGGTTCAAACACCATGTGAGACCCCATGAAAAAGAGATGAAATCTTTGTTTTACGACAAAAAATGTAAAAAAAAAAAAAGAAATCAAATATAAACTGGGCTTAGAATGACCTTTAAAGCCACCAGCGTGTGAATCAGAGGATTAGTCAGTCAGTGGGCAGCAGTTAAAATACTTGTGGGAGTCTTTTTTTATGCAAAACACAGTTTGGGAGAATAATATTATTTCAAAAAGCTCTGAGTCACCTTGAACTGAGAACTGTTAGAGTTCATCAGATCAAAACGGATAAAAATTGACATTTTAAATAAAATATGGCATATTAACTAATGAGATAAAAGGGCAATGTGAGTTTATGATGTGGATGTAATTATTATCTATAAACATACGTTCCTTCTGAATATCAGTGATATGATTAAATTCTTTTGTAAAGTAATGAAACTTCATATATTAATCTGAGCTTGATTTCAGTTGATGTGAAAGTTTTAATGTCCTATAAAGCATACTACAAATTGTCATGATTATTTTTCTATATGTTCTTTCAAACCACATATGTGCTTGCTCTCATTAGAGTTTAATCTTTAACCTTTTCCCAGTGACGCTCCCGGACGTGTGAGCTGCAGCTGAAGGATTTGTCCACACAAGCCTGTGCATCTGAAAAGAGGAAGGCTGCAGCTGTGACCCAGCCTTCCTGTGTCCCCCTCCTGCCGGGTCTCCTGTTACCTGCTGAAAGCTCCTAAAGTCACTGGCCTGGAGTTACAGAGCCTCTTCTGGGGCAGAGCGCCATCTGGTGGTCGGATGGGTCCTGATACCCTATAGGTAAAATGTCTCCCACTTTTACTGTTTAAAAAAAATCATAAGTTTATCAGATGAAGCAACAGCTGTGTTGGAATGCAAGCAGTAAGTCATTCACAACTAATCATTTGTTTTGTTTGTTAATTTCAGGAAATTATTATATAAGCTCAGCTGTGCAGAGTTACCGTCAGCGGCTGACCTGCTGACCACATCATCAATGGAGCAACAGTTCAGCCACGATGTAGGCTTCGTCATAGCCGGAGGCACAAATCACACACGGTCAGTCTTAACATAAATTTGCCGAACGTCAGGAAGATTCACTTTATGACAAACAATACTTTTAGAGTGTTCAATATACAATATTTGAATATAACAGGCACTGCTCGCCAGATTATCCACCTGGGTGTTGTCTGCCGTCTGCTGAAAACCCCTTCGTCTGGGCCGAAACAGGGCTTTCTCAATTGAATGGACTTTCCTCCAAAGGGAGACGTCCGCTGACCAAACTTGACCTCTTGGACCGGACAAATGTCAGCTTCAGAAATCACCTCTCAGGTTTCGGCACCAAAATGTTTTAAGATTCTTCTTTACCCTCAGGTAATTTCCTCTCTCACTCCGCTCCCGGTTCTTTGTGACCCTGAAAAGAGATCTACGCCTTAAGCCCCAAATCAAACACACACACACACACACAATCTTGGTTGGCCTGAGATGAGACACATGCGAGTAGTAACCTGCTAATGTGTTCTGATTTTTTGTTTCCAAAGTACACAAGCACACACACACACATCAGACAGGGCAGTCCTGTCAGTGAGTTCAAAAATCAAATGTCATTCTCTACTCAAAGAAGGGCATTCCTTCTGAGTTCACAGTCTAAAGCCAATTTTGACTTCATCTGCCCTACGACAGTCAATACATTTCTAAGAGTTCAGTTTTCACCAAATATGGACATTTCTCCTAAATCTGTATTGGAACATTTCAGTTGTGTTGTATCCATTCATCTATTTATCCGTCTTCTGCTTCACATTTACATCTGCTGCAGACACATTTCCTGTTATTTATTACGAACTTTAATTTTTTCACAAGTTCTGCTCAAGTTGGGTTGTAACAGTGACGACCTGTGTCCGGCTCCCTTGCTGTCTGGAGAGCAGTTTCCACTATTCTGCAACACTTCTTCAAAGTATTACCAGTCACACTTCCTGTGAAGCAAATATTAACATGCACAGTGAGCAATAAAAATCATTCGTAAAATATTCCTGAGACTTTTTGAATATTCCCACATTAAACATCTAGATTAAATACTTGAGAAGCATGCCTTAAACTGTTGCAACTAGACTGAAAATGATTATATGGACTAAAACTGAAAATCACCCTCAACAGTCTCGAACTCTGCTTCACTTTTAAAGAGATACTATGCAACTTTTTTAGATTTTTTAATAATTTTCTTGAGCCAGTATGTGCCTAAATGAATCTTTTCAGGTTTAGAGAAAAGTCTTTCAAACCCCACCACCCCATGTGGCCAGAATACCACACTTGCAACTTCAGAGTGTCCGGACCGTCCCCCTAAAGTGTTGATGCTTTTTGTTAGAAGAGACATTAGACATAAATATAAAGCAGATGCACAGGAAGAAATCTGCAAGCTCAATGATTTTAGGTGGACTCACAAAGAGCAGCCCTCAGAGTCCTGGAGCACGTGCAGCACGTCCCTGACCCGTGGACACATTTAGACGAGCCATGTAGAGCAGGTTTGTTTAACCCAAAGGGTCAGGTCAAAGGTTTTAGCTTGTCAACAGAAATATAAACTAATGAATACCCAAATACAGCTGAACCAAGCCTCCTCACACACACACACACACCATATTTAACCATTTCAAACAGAATTCAGAGGGCTCAAATCCTTGCTGCCTTGGGAATGAAAACACAAACATATCAACTCTAACATGGAAATGGAGAGCTGCAGAAGAAGTGAAGTAGAAGATCTTGCTTCAGTTTTGAACACTAAAGTAAACACTAAACTAAGTTCTGCACGTGTGATCATGCCTTTAATGTTTGTGTTTTGCGAAGAACAGAGTTCATCCATCACAGGTTACACTGAGAGAAAAAATCACATTTAAACCCACAGGTGGAACTTTTACAGGAAAACAAAAATATATTAAAACCCGATGTAGCAACGCCACAGCTTCTTCAGCAGCTTTTTTATTTGGACTTTTTTTCTTCTCTTGTTACAATTTGCTCATCAGCTGTGTTGTGTGACTGATTTATTTATCATTTATTTAAGCTAAAGTCATCTAGGCTCAAACTACATTTATTTTGTGCCACACACAAATCTGTTTCTCTCATGTCCTTTTGTGTCAATTTCCTATAGTTTAATATTTCCCCCTTATTGTTTTTAAAAAGTAAATTTAGTGTTTGCTGTATTTTTAGAATTGGACCAACACACAGAAGACTTATTTGCAAAGCAGATGTTAAAACTCATAATAGTTTTTCACACTTCATCAATTTGAATCCAGATGATTCAGGAATAAAAGAAAAAACTTCTGTGACTTCAAGTAATTTAATATTTATTCCACCCATTTTTAAGGGTTTTCCACCAACAGACCCAACGTACCCTTCAGAACACTTCTCAGTCCCTGGATCATTTAAAGCAGAGCAGCTTATTTTGTAATCCGTAAAGATGAACGCCTGAGGACGCCTGAGGAAACCAACATTCTGAAAAGTTTAAAAACGCCTTTCAGCCGTCTGTTTTTAGAGTCCAAGCACGCTTCAACCTGCCTCCTCGGGACCTTCCTGCAGTTTCCAGATATCATTTCTGCCACAGAGCTGCAACACAAGGTGTGTTTATTCTCCTTTCACAGCAGCATTAGCAGGTAGGCCTGGAGGTAAGATTCATGGTGATTCAAACCACTGCCAGTCAATACTTGTCTCTTTTAAACGACACCCTGAGAGGTTGGTGCGACTCTGGTATTTTCAGTTCCTGCAGACTGAAGTAAAGCTCTGATGCACCAGTCCAGCAGGACGTCCATCGTCCTGATCAAGAGAATGTTCACGCTGAGGTTAAAAGGCAGCGTGACAATAGAAAGCACGCTCAGCAACACCATCATTAGATTCTCCTCCAGGCGTGGAAAACCCCACCGCTGACAGCCACACCAGCTTGTGTGCTGGGAGTCCACTTGTCCCCCTGCTAGAAAAGCCACAGGTATGTCTCGGTTTGTTCTCTGGTACTTCCCTGATCCCCACTTGTCAGACAAGTAATGGGGGGAGATGAGGAACAAGTCTCCATGGTGATGCATCAGTTTCTGCACATCGCTCTGTTTTGATGATTGGTGATGTTTCTGCAGGAAATTGCTAATAATCAGCAGGACAAGAAAAAAGGAGAGGAACGCCACGATCCAGCAGAGGTTCGGTGCACTGGGCATGGAGCTGAACAGGTTGGGAAGACACTTGACCAGAGAGTCAGTTTTATGCAAACAAACAGCAGCCCACTCCTCCTCTATCTTCCAGTGCCACTTGACGTTCAGAGCGACGATGAACCACACAGACAGGCAGCAGAAGAAACCAACAACTTGAGGTAAGTTCCCGTTTTTATCCGTGCTGCTGCTGTCCTCTTCCTCCTTGACATTTCCCCCCACAAAGTAACAATGTCCACCTGTTTGACTCGCTGTCGGGTGATCGACGGCAACATAAGACCACGGCAGTCTGATCAGGGTCTCCAGAGCGATCAGGAAGGTGATCAGGAGCAGCACGGAGCCGTAGGTGTGGCTGAGGAAGACCAGGAAACGCAGGGCGATGACATCACCAGATGGGCTGAGGTCAATCAACCAGGACTCAAAGATGTAAAGGGAACCCAGGAAACCTGCAGGGACACGAAATGGAGCATTTTCAGAGGAGTCATTCTGCCTGCGTCCCAGAAGGACTGACCCTGACAGTCAAGGACACTAAGATAAGACAAGTCTTTGTCTTTGGTCAAGAATCTAATCACTAGAAGACACGTAGGTTAAATAAACACTACACATTCAAAATGTTGATATGGATCTAACTAAATTAACCAACATGTGTGTGTATCTTTGATGAAGTTACTGAACACTTCTGGCACACCCAAATAAAACACATTATGACCTTTGTCTCAAGTTATAATAGTTCTGTGGTCGATCCAATACATGTTCAGGAAGTTCTTTGATAAAATCCCTCTCGCCTCGCATGAAGCAATTTAATTCTTGTCAGTTTCAGTACCTTCCAGAATGAGCCTTTTCAAGGCTCTCATTTAAAAAAAAAAAGAAGCTGGCACTGGCCAAACCCTCCCATCCCCCGCTCGGGTTGCTATAAGCTGAGAGGCTCCATAATCCTGGAGGGGCTCAGTAGAGCCGCTGCTGCTCCAGTCTGGAGAGGTGAGAGGGGGTTCTACGCAGAATAGCTATTTCCCTTATTGACAGGAGGCACATACATCTAAACAGATGTATTTGGGAGTGTTCAAAGAGGCAGCAGACCCACACGGCAGCACAACAGGATCCAAAAGACGTGTTTTGTCTATTTTCTTTTTAAGACACTTTCATCCACCTCCCAGCTAGGGTTGTCACGGTAACCGGTATAGCGGTAATCCTCGGTAAAAAAGTTGACAATAAAAATAACCGTCCAGTTTTTTAAAAACTAAATTATCTCGGTGGGTTTACCGTGGCCGCGGTTTCGGCGCGGTGACCCTTGCCAGCCACCGTCGCTTCAGCTGAAGTTCCCGCGGCGCGCACACGCACTTTTTAGTTTGCAACGGCACCAAAACTTTGAAGCTGAAATAATGGCCGAAGGAGGAGACGGCAGCGCCCAGGACATCCATCAGCCCTCAAAGAAGACTAAATCGGAAGTATGGGCATATTTTGGATTTCTGAAAAATGCTGAGGGACAGTTAATAGAAGACGGCTATCCCGTTTGCAGAACGTGCAGGAAACAAGTGTCTGCAGAAGGCAGCAACACTTCGAATCTAATGGCACATCTGCGTGACGATCACCCACGTCTCTACAGCCAGTGCAAGGTAAGTTAACATTAGCATTTTAGCTTAAATGCATGACGTGAGGACTTTTGGCTGAGGGAGAATGCAACCAGTCTCTACATACTGCAGCCGCAGTGCCCTCTGCCAGCATTTAAACCGTGTCACGGACACCCTGTTGCTGTATGAAGCATCTTATTTGTTGATGATGAAGAGAAATATACAATTAGTTCCTTGTCATTGATTTGTTTACTTATTCAATGCCATTTATACTTGAACATTTGGATTTGATTACATAGTGTAGTAGTTATTTTAGTAATTTGTTTAAAGTGGCTATTTATTTTAAATACATATTTTTTTAAGGTTGACTTGTACAGTGCTCAAGTCAAGTGTGGACTGGAGTTTTAGATTTTCATTTTGATAATGAAGAAAACAAGTATATGAGAAGACAAGTGGTGTTTCTTTGATTTGTTTACATATTGTTTATGTTTTGAATGTTTGGATTTGTATAATTTAAACCTGCACTGACTACTGTAACATGTTCCAGAAAAAGAAGCTATTTGTTCCTTTACTTGTGAAAAGTTGCACTTTTGCTAAGGCTTTGTGTTATTTTAGGTTTAATAAACATGTTAAACATTTTCTAAACTATTTCAGTTTGTGTAGAACAGAACTACCAATGCTTTCTGAACATATGCAACACCGTTTAAAAAATACCGCGATAATACCGAAAACCGTGATAATTTTGGTCACAATAACCGTGAGGTTAAATTTTCATACCGTGACAACCCTACTCCCAGCATGGATTTGTGATGGTTCTATGGTCAAAAAGGGGCGTTTTATAATCTTTAGATGATTTAGCAATTTTGTTGTTGAGTGTTTGTTCTATGAGATGTGAAACTGGTGAAATAAAATAAAGTGTAATAGGCGTGATAGTTGTAAAACCTGTTGGTTGAATCAAGCTTTGGCAGGAGCATAGATGTAAGTGGGTTGTCATTTATATTTTGTACCATCACCCTCTTCAAATCCCCGGAGCCGTTTTGATGTAGAGAACATGTAGTTCACAGGAAACGTTTCTGGAATTTTTTTAATCAACGGGTCACGAGAATCCTCTAAACAGCTGACAAAACACGAAGGTGACACACCTTGTGTGGTTTGAGTTCCGACCAAAGAACACTGCTGTTGTGCCCTTGAGCAAGGCACCTAACCCACCTTGCCTGTTGGTGGTGGACGGAGGGACTGGTGGTGCATTGTTGATATTTGCATATGTGGAGATGTATCGAGAGATTTAACTGCAACAACGTGACTACACTCCATCAGCGAGATGAGTCACAAGCTGTGGTTTTTAAATATAAGACAGTCTGCCACTCGTGCAGGTTTGTTGAATCCCTTTGTCTGATCTGAGTTCAGGTAGTGCCCAGCAGGATGTATGGGTGTGGTCAGGAGCGAGCTCACCTTCACCTGTCGCCACAGCCGTGGCACAAACAGAGCTGAAACCACAGGAGGTCAGCAAAAGCCACGTTTTCAGGAAACGTGAAGTCATTCCTAAAATCTAAAATTGTTTCGTTATTCAGCTTCTTTACTTGACTGATGGAATCCAGTGGTGCTTTTAAATCAGCACACCAAAGAAAAAGTGAATGAACAACTGAACAATTGAACTAGAGGCTTGAGGTGGACAGCGCACCTGTTCATGCTCTCACCTGTAACCAGGAGGTCAGTGAAGATCAAGAGGCAGCAGCAGCAGAAGCTCACAGGGCTGTGAGAGACAGCCAGCGATGGCAGGAAGAGGAAGGTGCAGGCCAGTTTACATCCACCCAACACCACAGCTCCTTCCAACACACCATCCATGGCTGCAAAGAGACAACAAACACAGTGCAGCATTTCAGAAAGATAAGTTTGCCTCCTTCTAGCCTCAGGGTGGACGAACTCAGGAATGCAGGGGACTCTGCCTATACCTTCAGACAAAACGAGACACGCTTCCTTACGTTCTTTCACAAGATCGTTTGCATTTCAGCAAAAAGGTAGTTTGGATCAATGCTTCGTCCGCCGTGAACTTTGGTAGCAAACCCTGACCTGGACTGTCTGTTATAGCAAATCTAAGTAAAGTTCAGCCACAAGTACAGCTTGTCTGTCCTTGTCAACAAACATTTGGTATTTAGTTCAGATAAAAGCAAGCAGAGATTAGAAAGATGTCATGAAACTCTCCAGTAAAGCAGCTGCTCTCACGGGGCTGACCACAAACAAATCCACCTGCTGACAGAAGCTGATCAGTTCTTACCTGTGCTCACATGAGCCTGCAGAGCAGCATGTCAGCTCCAAACACCTCATCAGCTTTCTTCACCTCACCTTTGCTCCACCCTCACAGGGATAATGAGCCTCCCTCCACCCCCCTGCACCTGGCCTGAGGAGGTGACGGAACATGGAGGGGAGTGTCCGTGTTTGTGCAGGCAACAGAACCAGTTCAACCACAAACCAGCTAACTAGTGTTTGTCTGAGGAGAAATCTGCTGATGGGAGGGAAGGACACGCCAGAGAACACCCTCGTTCTGCAGATTACAGTGAAACACACATAAAAACAAGACTAATTTATGTTGCTGTGTTTCAACTGGTAGCTCCAGTTTATACACTGGTTTCCAGGGAAATTTGTTAGACATACACACACACACACACTAATTATATATATATATATATATATATATATATATATATATATATATATATATATACATTAAAGGTGTGGAACGCTCGTTTATTCATTTGCAGTGGTCTCTAATAGGAATGAATGCCTTGAATGTCGTACTCTAGGGAAACAAAGCTCTGGAGCACCGGATTTTAGAAGTAGAAGTGTGCCATGTCAGAGTTGATTTTCAGACGACAAGATTTGGAGTCTTAGTTTCTAAAATTTTGACATCTTGCCCCAGTTTGGATACCATGACTCTACCCCTGACTTGCAACATTATTTTATCTCCACAAATAACACAAGCCTGAAGAAGTTCTGATGTGTGGTGGAGTTGCTAATGCTAACAGTTAGCTTCTATTAGCCAAGACATTCTCTGTTGATTCCTGGATGCTAAAACAACAGCTGTCAAAATTAAATAAACATTTTGCTTCTAAGATAAATGTTTATCTTCATATGTATTTTATGTATGAAATATGATTAACTGATGTTCTGTGAAATGTATTCTTTGATCATTTTGGATGCAGCAGTACACATTTTTTGTACCAGAGATTTTTTAATTGATATTTCGCCGCTTTTCCATATTTTTAAAGCAGAAATATAGCAGTTTTGCGTAGATAAGAAATTCAAGTGATGCTGTTTTCTCTGCTTCTTAAAATGGCACGAAGAAGGTCCCTCTCTTCTCCCTCCGTTTCTTCTGAACAAAGTTTCAAACATCCCACAGGATGCTGTTGTTTCACCTTTTAGAGCTATCTCATTGTCACAAGTTAATGAACACATTACTACGGGAAATGTTCTTGTTAAAGCGAGATTATGTCCCATTATAAAAGAAGCTTCCTTGTCATTAGGAGATATTGCGGGCTAGGGCACTGACGGTATAATTTCCTTGCTTTATGTAAATCTAAAAGTTTTTTGTTAATGAACGGTGTTTCCTTTTCCACTCGGAGCCCCATACATCTGAGTGGGTCTGCTGTCTGGAGTAGCAGTGCCCTCTCCAGCTGACCTAAGCACAGAGCATATTAACAATCTGTCACGCAGCTGCAGCTGAGAGGATTATATTTACACACGAGCTCCTTCAGACACAATCAGCGTCATCAGAACAGTTCCCCTCCCACTTTATCATCTGTCTGGTAAAATAATGATTTAATGCTGCATGCATTAATGTAAAATTATTATCATTTATCTCAACAGCCACCTAAAGGAGCCTCCAATGCATTGAAGCTGTCTCGTGCTTTGCGCACAGTAGATGATTATCGCTGCAGCAGCGCAAATGTGCACTTCCCAGCAGCTGGAACGCAGCGCTGAAATTACAAATAAAAAAATGGGTTAAAATCAGTTTCCACGCAGCGTTTTGTGCTCTGAGCAGATCCTCGCATGTAACACCCAGAAGTGAACAGCAGGCGACCCGGAAGGTTTGAAGTCTGACTGAAGGAAGAAAAAAAAACCAAAACACTAAAAACCCGGAATCTGATCCTTTTATTAAACATTTCTCCTCTCGCCGCTGCAGGTATGTCGCTCTCTTCCTGCTTCTTTTCGCTGTGTTCTGTCTGCGTCGCTTCGACTGCGTTTCTGTTGAAGTCATGCACAACTTAAAATAAAAAAAGAGGATTTATTTTCCGTTGTGCGCCAATCTTCCCATAGCGCGTCGCTGCCATCCTCATCATCCTCATCATTTGTGTCTGAGGAGCAGTTCAGAAGGCACGCTGATGGTTGTAGGAAGTGTCAGGGCTTTTTTCCCCCTCTCTCACCAAACCGGGCTATTCAAACCTGCAAATCAAAGTAAACAATCATTCTGCTTGACGCAAAGATGCCGCATGCAGGCGCGTCGCAGCGACGTGTTTATGCCATCCGGCGGATTTTTGGGGCTTAGAATATTCAGATCTGCAGAATATGGCGTCCGTTGCTTATAAAAATAAGACAGAGCTGCCATTTTTGTTTTCCTTTTGTCTGATTTTTTTAAAATAAACTGTCTGAGAATGTGGGAGAGGTGGCGGGCTGAGCGAGGCTCTGCAGAGGACTATCCTCACTCTGAGAGCTCATCTAAAGCTGCAAAAATCCTAATTTAAACATTAGTTTATGTTTGACTCTATGTATTCTTATTATGATTTCATCCAGTGGCACATTTAGGTTGAAAAGTAGGACAGTTAGTTTATAATGAAGCAGAATAAATGTACAATTTAATCCATCACACCACTTTTGTCATAAAACCCAAGATAGTTGTTATTATTTAAACATTTTCTGATACTTTACCCTGAAATTTTATAAAACTTTGCAAACTTTTTGCCAGAAATTAGGATTTTCTTTTACAAATTCTACAAACATTTTAACAAGTTGTTGCTTTAATACTCGGATTCATTAGGAAAATACTATTTTCAGCTGTTTAAATGTGCAGGAATATTAACATCCAAGTAAAAATAAACTACCAGAGTGTTGAGGAAAGTTCAACAGACTTGCTGAAAAAAGCAAACCTTGCTGTTTGGAAGGGTTTGAAGATCTTAAAAATGCTTTAATTTTTTTCTAAAGCTTTTTTAAATGCTTATTTTAAAAAGTGACACCAAGAAGTGCAAAAGCAGTGAACGTCCCCTCTGGGACAGGCGGCCTGCAGGAAGTGGAGCTGATCCCCTCTGGCATCGTTAGAGAAACATTCAGTGAAGTCCATTGTGAACTCGAACCCCGAGATGTATCCGTTTTGTTTCTCTTGGCTTGCAGATGTGGACTGTGTTCTGCTTCTGCTAAGTCAAACAGACTCTGGAATGGTGCAGAGAGCCAAAGCACGCAAGGCTAAACGTTTGAGAAAGAACTTCACGCAGGGTCAAGGAGAGAAGTTCTGAGAAGAAAGCAGAAAGGGTCTCATCTTACCCCAGAAATATGGATGTTCCTTCCCATCAGAGCTCTGATGAACCAGCTGTTTCCACACAGAAAAGTTGTAAAATACTTGTACCTAATGCTAGTGAGAGGACTGCGCTGGTCTTTGTCTCTTAACCGACCCCCCCGTGTTGAGGAGATAAAAAGTTTGGTATCTGAACCACATCACCTCTGTTTTTCCTGATAGCTGCTCAGCTAGCTCTTAAAAACATGTGACAGCGTTTATCTCTGAGGCGGCGTGCACATAGTGACGAGAGAAAAACCAGCAGATTCATTCATTATAAAGCAGAGAGATCCTGCTGACTTCACTCCTGCTGGCAGCTCAGAAGCATCCTCCTGGAGCCATGAGTTGGTGAGAAGAGCCAAGATTTAAACCAAACCTAAAACATTATCACACAGCTGATTATAATAAGCTGCTGCTTGGGTGGATGGGCAGTTTTACCCACCAACAACAATCCCTCAAAGAAATGAACTGGTCAGGAATGTCGAACAACAACAATTTAAGTAAAGCTTTTTAAACTTACAAATCCCATCACCGTCTGCAGTGTTGTTCTGTATTCTTCAACCTGTTTGTACTCCTCTCTGTTTCTTTAGGAATGGCTGAATCTCGCTTTAATAATCCCTATTTTTGGCCTCCGCCCCCCGCCATGTCCGGCCAGGTGAGCAGCTTCGCTCTCATCACTGCAAACATGAACACAGCAGGAGTTTTACTGTAAGATGATTTTATTTATTCATGTTTTATTGCTAGAAACAAGTTGTCTTGAATCACAGCTAATAGGATACTAGCCATAAAAAAGTACCACAGATAAATCTGGGATTACCACCTTGGATTAGCGTTAAGGGAGGGGAAACGGGTGGAAACAAAACTAATTCTTCCAGTTCAAATATAAATTCTATAAATCAAGATTCATACATGCTTTAGGATAAGATTTATATTCTTGATTTTTTTTTTGTTGGATGCAGAATTAAAAAAAAATGTAAACACAAGTTCTAAAACAGTTTCATCCAAAGCAGGAATATCCAAAGGGTGGCTCAGGGGCCATATGCTGCCCTCAGAGTGACTTTCTGTGGCCTTCTACTGCATTTTTGAGCAGTGGGATTTTCTCTCTCCCGCAGGCCGATGATGTAGATCAACACTTTTAACATTCAGAGTGAGGAAGTATTTTTCAAGTTCTCACAGTAAGAAAGCATGGAGTGGTCTGAAATTCACATTGTAGGTGCAGGACCCTGTTGTGTTTGCACCTGAACTGACCCAGTCTGCCCAGCACCACACTGACTTGTATAAAGTAGCTGCTTCACTAATTATTGTCTCCCTATATTGTTATCGTCTCATTGTGTTTATTTCTTATTTGTAATTTTGCTTATCATTTATTTTTCTTGCTGCAGCAATTTCTTAATGCTTGATTCTCACATTGCACAGCAGGGATGGTGTTTTGGGGATCCAAAACAGGGGGGGGGGGGGGGGGGGTGTCTGCATTTTTCATCATATTTCTGTGTTGGGAGTTTGACAATGGTGATTAATTTTGTGAGGCAGCATCAACTTAGCTTACCTTCATTTTTCTTTTCCCTTCTTTTGTCCTTTCTGCTTCACCAGCAACCACTTTCAAAACTCCAATTTTTACAAATACCAGTTGTTTGGATGTCTGCCGATGTCATCTCCTACTGAGTTACAACCAATCAGCACGAGTTAACCACAAGTCCCGCCCAGTGTGTGATCCCCCTAAATGTTGTCTCTCCAGCAGCATTTTGATTCAGACTGACCCTTTTAAATGTTTGTTTGTTTAGGTTTTTACAAATATTTCTATTCCAGGTCTTTATCAAACTGTAAAAAAACAAATAAATAAAAAAACACCAAAGAGGAATTATTCCATTTATAAAATAAAAACATGACATTTTATGTGGCCCAAAAGGGCTTTTATCTTAATGATTTTGGCCCTCATCTTGAAAGATTACAACACCTCTTGCTCAAAGGCATCTGTAATGCAATAGCACTACGGCCATGTGGGTCATGGATGACTCTCTGTTAGCAGAACATGAATTTTTATTTCAGTATCTGTCGAGTTGTAACCAATCTTTTGTTTGCTAAAGCAAAACCAGTCGGAACGTGTCAAAAACTTGTAGATGAATGTCAAAAGAATTTCCGCCCAGTGGTTTATGGGATATTTTCTTAGCAGACAGTGAGCTCCATCTCTTCTGTGTGAACATTTAGGTTACAATATCAGAGACGTACCACTAGAGGTCACCACCACCCAATAGAGTGACTGAAGTGATGATGGCTGTTCTGTCACTAATGTTGTTTCCTGGCTGTCAGCTGGATAATCTAGTCTTGATCAATAAAATCAAGGAGCAGCTGATGGCGGAGAAGATCCGGCCGCCACATCTGACCTCTTCAGCTGCTTCCCAGCAGCCTTTGCTCTCTCCCTTGGGGCAGGCTGAAGGACACCAAAATGGGATATCCAAGCCTCAGCAAATGTCGGCCCTCCACAGTCCTGGCGCCTCTCAGCCTGATGTGGCCCTGCATGCTCGCCCTGCTTCCAGCTCAGTCACAGGTCTCTGAATAGTCAGAACAATACACACACACACACGCACATGCACACACACATTTCTACCAAAGTGTGACCAAACCTAACCTAGGTTGTGTGTTCTGACATCCAGGTCGTATTCTGGGGGACGTGAACTTGAACTTGGATGACAAGGCAGCTATAAAAGCCAGAGGATTGTGGGAAGACTGGCACCTGCGCCAGCTCATGGACCATCCCTCCAGGACAAACCACGTCTCAGGTATTTAAACTGTGCAAGCAGAGAAGAAAGGTCTTACTGCACCTGAATGAGGAGATGTTAAACAAAAGCAGGGTTCAGCAGCATTTGCTTTGATATTATCTCTTAACAAAGAGAGTTCAAAAGAAGTGTTGATTTAAATATATTCAAATATATTCAAAAGAAGCTGCAGCTGCAGAGCTTCAGACTTAAATGAATTAAAGGTACAATGAGTAAGAATTCTACAGTGAAGTCATCACAAAACAGTCTTGTTTTAGTCATGTTGGGAGGAGGGTTACACTGAAACAGATTTTAAACAGGCTGAAGAGGGTCGTAGTCAATCTGTTGACGAGGTTGCCAAGTCTGCACCACACACTGTTGAGTGCTGTTTTGAATATAAGTAACCAGAGTTTGTGTTCTTACTTTCTATTTAAATGTATTTAAATATCCAGTTTTTTTTTACTTGAAATATAATCATTTGTTAAATTTAAGATTTTTGACCTGTGCTTCTCTAATATTGCTTTACTCATTCATAATCAGACATCTGGGCATCAAAGCACCTGTATAACTTCCTTTAAAAGGTGTGAATCTCTCATTTCATTAATACATTTGCGGTGGCCTCTAATAATGAGTGCCAGTCATACTTTGGGGAAGTAACAGGACTCCCACCAAACCGATAAATGGGATTCATTCCACCTGCATGGATATTTTGGTTTCTGTGGCTCTTGTCAATTTAAACAAAAGAAAGTAGAAGAGAATAGTTTTTGATATTCAAAAGTAGTGCTGAGTATTGTGGACAATTTCCTAAATCTATTCTATTTGGATTCATAAGGCTCAGAATCGATTAATCACGATTCGATTAAATTTTGTTTGACGTCTGATCTTCATTATTCATTATCACTACTGCATGTTTCTCTTGACGTGTGCATTCAGCGTCTTTTTACATTTTTTTCCATTTAGTGGCTTATTTTTGGAATTGGGTGTTGCTGAGGGAGAAAACGACATTTCTGTTGTTTAGACGCGCTTCATCCTGTTAAGTAGATGTGCAGTTTGTGTATATTGGTACACATTAAGCATGTTTTTGGAAGGAATTTGTACCCGGAAGTGTCTGCAGATCCAGACCCAGGTCAGTCTGGGTCAAGGGGAATAATCGATCTTAGGCCTAATTAATTGATTTTGCTAAATTTCTATGAAATTGATCCAAAATCAATAAAATCATTTTTTACCCATTTGTTTATTTTATTTATTTGTTTGTTTATTTTTATTTCAAACATTAACAATTAAAAAAAGTAAATAACATAATTTGTAAAAATCAACATTGTTTGAAATGGAGGTATTCAAAAGTGTGTAAAGATGGTAACATCCATACATTTTGTTAATCTTTTCTCCTCCAACAGCACAGGCTCTTAATGTTTTAAATGGCGTTTTAACCCCAGAACACGTCGGTTTTATCAGCTTCAGTTGAACTCTGAAGAATTTTAAACATTTTTCCTCTGGCACAATCTCAAACGTCAGCTTCTCCATCATTTCCATCCATCCTTCACTATCTAGGGAAAGTCCTGCTTCTGTTTCAAGGAATGTTGACGTCATTCATGCTGACGGTACGATATGCATAGATGCTGTAACTCGTTTTACGAGGTTATTCAAACCGTCAGCAGACGGTACAAAAAGCTGCTGCACAACGTTTGACTGGAACAGGAAAACAGGTGGGCGGTGTTGGGTTCAGTACATCTGCCCCCGTCTGGAATCATATAGATTAAGATTGCACTGTGGTGTCGCTCCTTTTCTGTTTTTCACCTCAGTGTAATAACAAATAGCTTTAATGTGAGCTAGAATAAAAAAGAAAAGTATTATAAATCAGGCCAGATCCCAAAAAGGTGTTTTTGGAGGGGTAAAGTGGTTTAAAATATGCAGATTTATGTTCGGTATTAGAACTCATCTCTTCAACTCGGAGGATTTCATACATTTGAAATATTTTAAACTGGAATGAATTTTACAGCAAGTTAAAAGAACAACGGCAGAAAAAAACCCCAACTTAATATGAAACAAGCCACAAGCCTAAATGTGTGTTGTTGGTAGTTTTTATTTAAAAATTCTCTTTTTCCTTTAACAATGCAGCATCAAAAGGTTTGTTTCTGCTCATGCAAACATCTGTATTAGAATGCTATTTCTGATTCGGATGAAGCTTCATTTTGGAGGGTTAATTTTATCACTTATACCCTGCAGCTTACTAGAAATGTTGCATCACCTTCTCTCTTAACAGGTGTGGCGCTGGCATCCAGAACAGGCAACCTCAGCACCTCAGAGATCATCACCCCCACAACGCCCACCTCCAGCAGCCACAGCCGACTCGGTGGAGCTCCAACCCCTCACTTCATCTCAGGGGTCGAGCCTGGGAAGAACAATTGTGGTGGCCTCGTAGGACTCCTGGGTCCTCCTCCAAAGCCGGAACGAGGGCGCAAGAAGATCAAGGCAGAGAACGGCTCCTCCCTTTTGGTCGTGCCCTACCCGATCCTCGCCTCAGGCAACGAGCAGTCCTGTGTCACCATCACCGCAAAACAGACAAAAACCTACAGGTGAGGGAGGACTTTGACGATTATCTGTTTTCAAATAATCAGAATTTTAGTAAGTTTATGATGTTTGTTTCTTTGAACGAAAAACTCAAATACAACCTCACCCTTGCCCCACCGTAGAGCCGGCCTTGGAGCCAACAGCAGAGTGATAAAAGGATTTTAGCAACTGGGAATTAACTCCGAAGGACCTCAGCCTCCTCAGGAGGTGGAGGCAGATTTGGCCCTTCTTATACAGAGCATCTGTGTTGTTGGACCAGTTCAATTTGCTGTGGAGGTGAACACCCAGGTAGAGTCGAATCTCTTAAAAAACAGGTTGAGCTCATTGGCCCCATTCTTGTCCCCTGCATCACACTCCCTGGCACCACTGTGGCCCGTGGTGTTTCTCCATGCCCCACGAGCATTGTTCTGCCCCAGCTGTTTCTCCAGCTTCTTTCTAGCCATGCAAAACACGGAAACATTATGGAAAGCAGAGGGTTGCCATCATGAAAAATGTGTCTAAAGAGAATATAAACACAATGAGTAAAAGGGATGAACAAAAAGGAGGAAAATAAAACACAAGTGTGCAGGTTAATGACCAGGAAACAATACTGTTTAAATTCTAAATAGACTGCCTTGCTGTGGGTTTCCAGCAGTGGCAGCTTGTCCATAGGGGGCGCTGCTCTCCTTGACTTGAAGGGAGAAAAAAATCTAAAAAGTAAAAAAATATACAATAGACATACTTATATTTGTTATAGATGTGTCAGTTTTACTTAAGTGTGTGTGCCTATACATGCATTCAGATTATTCAACAGCTGTCTCCCATTAAACAGAATTTGCTCCAAAAGACTCACTAATATCACTCCTGCAACTGAATAGCTAATCTTGTTTGGTTGCTATGGAAAACTGGAGAATTGTTGGCCAATGAGCATCATAGAATTTATTTGAAAATGGAGGCTGGATTGATGGTGCCTGCTAGCCCTTGGCTACCATGCTGGAAGTTGCTGGATCTTCTTTTCCCTCTTTCTCACTCCCTCATTCCAGCACACTTTTTGGTTTAGAAAAATGGAGCTGAAATCACACCTGTAGCTGCTGCATTAGAACGGTTTTATTTGTTCTCATTTCAGGTCATTTTAACATTTAAAAGAAGCTATCTAATTCTGTTTCTATGCTGCTAGTGCCACCTACTGTTTAAACCTAGTATTGCACCTTGAGCAGATTAAGAGACTGAAACTCAAGGTAGAAAACAAACTAATGTCAAAATAAAGTGTAGATAAGGACAAAAATAGGCATCACAGATTGCAGTTGTTGGCTCGTGTATTTCTTTGAGCGTTATTGTCTCATTTATCGGTAATTTTGATACTTGACCATCTGTAAAACTGCTTACTTTGAGAAGGAAAATAAACAATTGCTTAGGAATTGTAGTTATCTTCTTACTGAGTACATATGATGGCCTAAGAAGGGAAATCGTTTCTCACACAGCCTTGCCAAGAATGTTTTTGCCAGCTGGCAGTGGTTTTCAGACCTTTCATGTCTAATGATTGAATAAAAATCAGTTAATTCCTGACTTTTACAAAATAAAAACTCTTTTGCACCTGATAAACTGTACAATTCAGGTTCATTTGCATAAATAAAAACTTTAAATGTAAATTATTTTATTATGTAGTATATGGTGACTTGCAATATAAATATTTCAAAATATAACACTCATAAAACTTGTAAAATGACCTTAAGTGAATGAATGAATGAATGAATGATCAATTTATTCAGTCAGTCATCTTAAGATAATGTGTACAATAACATGTCATACAAATAGATACAAATACCATTTCTCACTAACATATGCATTCATTTGTATATGGTGTCTATTTGGTATCTCATGACTGAATAGGTTTAGGCAGAAGCAATAGCTGTGACCCAAGTCACATATACTGAGAATGATCTATAAAATCTATATATTCTTTTCTCATGCACTCTGTTTTTATGCTTCTTCACCTGCTCTGCTCTTTTCTTACCACAGATGTAAAGTTTGTCCGCTGACCTACTTCTCCAAGTCTGACATGCAGATTCACTCTAAAACACACACAGAGGCAAAGGCTCACAAGTGTCCTCACTGTGCCAAGACCTTTGCAAACGCGTCCTACCTGGCCCAACATCTGCGCATTCACCTGGGCATCAAACCGTACCGCTGCTCCTACTGTGAGCGATGTTTTCGCCAGCTCTCCCACCTGCAGCAGCACACCAGGTCTGACCTTTGACATCTTCACTGGCCATCTGAAGCAGTTCTTCCTGCTGCACCAGAGCTGAATTGACCCAGTCACACCCTGTAATTTACTGTTTTCTCAAGAGCTCAACTAAACTATTAAATCTATTAAATTTCCCAACGCCTACAGTAGTTCAATGAAACAAGGTGTGTTAAAACTTAACTTGAAGTCATTACTGTGACACAAGTGTAAGAAAGTTTTTATTTTTATATTTGAGTAAAATAATTGGGAAGAAAAAGTATCTTAAAGCAAGTTTACATTTCTGGGTTAAAACTTTTTTAAATAATCAAACAATTCAAGCCAATTTTTTTACACATAAAAACATCAAAATCAACCCAACACTGTGATTATACCAGGGTCCTCATTTATCAAACATTCGTAGAAATTGTCTCATTTCCCATCCTATGAATGAAATGTAAAGCGTTCGTTTGAACAGACGAAATTCAGATTCATGAAAGATGCAGTGGTCACTTGTATTCAGCGGCAATCTACTCCTGACCTCACAAACCACACTCCCACACCTGCTGCTACTGCCATAACACTGTGGGAAAACCCCACATGTGTCCTCACCAAGCAAATTCTTGTCAGATTGTCACATTTGCTGCATTTACTCCCAGCCATGGACATTTTTTCCTTTTCGACATAAATAGTTCCGCTGTTACTGGTAGCTTGTTCAAACGATGGCCAGCTCCAGACTCTGATTGGGTCTTTTCTCACCATTCCCGCCTATTCAATTTCTTGCTGTGAAGTTGGCCTTTTTTTTTTAACATAGGAGGCGTTGAGATTTCTCTGTTTTGGAGCCAGCACCTAGCAGGTGTGAGAAGGACTACAATTTTTATCACTCCCTGGTTGGCTTCACACAATTCAGACAATGGCTGCCTCTTGGTTTGTACGCATGGCCAGAGCTGTTCTTATGTGAACATTACCACATATAGCATAAAATTGTTCCTTTGCACAAAATATGCACAGATCTGTGCACAAGTACGGTTGAAAAATTAAGACCCTGGGCTGAATGTTATCCAGTGGTGCTGCCATGCACACTTTCATCTGATGCTCACAAGGTAATAGGTCAGGTTAGACAGTGGTTTAGAGACTCAACTCTTTTCACTTAATTTTCTGTGTTTTAGCGGTGTACATGAAAGCAAAATCTAAAATTTCACAATTTTCTAAACTATAAAGCAAATTCCTCTTTTTCACAAATTGCTGTTTGAGAGACACAACACAATGAATAGAGAAGTTGGTCTCAGATTTCAAATCTCCAGAGAGTGCAGCTTCGAACCTGATCCTCTGAGAGTTTGACTGCATTACTCACCTCTGGGTATGAGAACAAAACACCTCAGTTGAAACGGGACAACAAAGACACTAAGAACCCTCAGGAAAGAGCAGATGGGAGAGTGATTTGCATGTGAGCTTGGATTAATGGAGACAACACTATAATTTAAGGATTAAGACTTTTCATTTTTAACAGAGAAATATATTTAATTATCTGGCATTATCTTGATCGTTTCCAGCACGATAGAGAGCACAAATCTGCACACGGGCAAGGATTAGTGCCCTAAACTTGGTTTGGACCAAAATCAACTTATGTTTAATTTTACCCAATTAAAACACCCAATGACAGAAGGCAGTAGCTGTGACAGAAGGGAGTAACCAGGAGATCACCAACTCCGGTCTTCGAGGGCTACCATCCTGTACATCTTGGCCGTTTCTTTGCTCCTACACACCTGATTGAAATGAAAGAGTAATTAACAGGTAAGGAGAGGATTAAATTACTCATTCAGGTGTGGCAGAGCAGGAAACACAGAAAACTAGGAGGATGGTAGCCCTCCATGACTGGAGTTGGTGACACCTGGACTTTTTCATTAGGTATGGTCACAAGGAAACCTATTTTGTGTTAAAAGGAAAAATAATTAGAAACTGAAACATAATTTTTATGAAGGGTGAAATTCAAAAGTTAATTTATTTATGTAATTCAGCTTAAAAGGGGATAACCTGGCAGCAGCCAGATCTCTCCAAATCTCGTGAGAAATCATCTTGCAGCACAAGGTTAAAAAGTGGAACCTAATAAATGAAATGTGTAGCCTGGCAAGTCATCCTATATATATATATATATATATATATATATATATATATATATATATATATATATATATATATAGGTCCACCATTGATTGCTGAAGAAGCTGCAAATACATCTGTTTTCTGAATTAAGGACTTCTATCTGCTCTTGACTCAAAGAGAAGCCCAAGTCTAGATCAAAGTTAAAGCCAAAGCCGTTTTAAACAAGCGGCTGCAATCCCAGTTGTTCTGCTGTGTTGCGTCATCCCGCCTGCCAAACTAAGAGAGCGCTGTGATTGGCCCACCAAACTCAAAGAGTGCTGTGATTGGCCCACCAAACTAAGAGTGCTGTGATTGGCCCACCAAACCAATAGAGCACTGTGATTGGCCCACCAAACCGACAAGAGCTCTGTGATTGGCCCACCAAACAAAGGAGCTCTGTGATTGGCCCACCAAACTAAGAGCTCTGTGATTGGCCCACCAAACAAAAGAGCTCTGTGATTGGCCCACCAAACTAAGAGCTCTGTGATTGGCCCACCAAACAAAAGAGCTCTGTGATTGGCCCACCAAACCGATAAAGCGCTGTGATTGACAAGCCTAAATACTGGTCTGGCCTGCTGAGGCTAGAGTGGCAAGCTGCGGCTATGATCTTTCTAGAAGTCTAGGCTATGAGGTACTCGTTACATACAAAGTAAGATATTTCAAGCCTTTATTTGTTATAATTGTAATGATTATGGCTTACAGTTTATGAAAACCCCAAATTCTAAATGTCAGACAATTAGAATATTGTGAAAAGGTGAAATATTCTTGGCCCAAAGTGTCACACTCCAATCAGCTAATGAATACAAAACACCTGCAAAGGGTTTCTGAGCCTTTAGATCAGGGGTATTCAACTCTGGTCCTGGAGGGCCAGTATCCAACACGTTTTAGTGGTTCCTCTGCTCCAGTACACTTGATTCAGGCCCTGTCCACACGTAGCCGGGGATCTGACAAAACGTAGATATTTTTCTATGTTTTGGCCTGTCATCCACACGAAAATGGAGTTTTTTCACACGAAGACGGATCTTTTTAAAAACTCCGGCCAAAGTGAAGATCTGTGTTGTCTCCGTTTTGGGTGTCTGCGTGTGGACAGACAAAACCGGAGTTTTAAGGTCCGCAACGTCACTTTCCGCGACAAAAAAATGCTGACATCACGTGTGCGACCTGTGTTTACACTAGCCGACAGCATGGATGCCCTCAGAGCTGCGCTCGCTTTATCAATTGTCCAAGCGCTTTTTGCTTACTGCTCCTTGCGGAAGACCACAGACGAAGGACGAGGTTAAGAACGGGGGAAGTACTGCCGCCTACAGGTCTGGCATGTCCTTAACAACGTATTTATCCATGTACGTGTGGACAGTTTTATTTTAAAATGAGGTGGTGTGGATGCAAGTTTTTGGAGGGGCGGATATTCGTTGTAAAAAAAACCCGGCTACGTGTGGACTAGACCTCAGTGGTTGAATCACCTGCGCTGCAGAAGCCTCTCAATTAACTACTGATTAAAATCAGGTTTGTTGAAACAGGGTTAAAATTAAAGCTGCTGGCCCTCCAGACCCAGAATTGACTGCCACTGTTTTAGATGTTCTCTTAGTCTAAGTAGAATTATTGAAATAAATGTACAGTATTTTTCATCATGTTCTCATTTTTCCTGTTTCAGCGGTAGTTTGAGGGCGTCTTTGTGTCCGTTGCTCGTTGCTTGGTGTTGAGTTAGCAGTTGGTTTTTGTTAACCTTTTGTCCATCTGGTTTGCCAACTCACTTTACCTTGTTTCAGAATCCACACGGGTGAGCGGCCGTACAAATGCGCCCATCCAGGATGTGAAAAAGCTTTTACCCAACTGTCCAATTTGCAGGTAAACACATCTGCTTTCACCACCAGAGTTTTATTTCAAATATAAACCTCCTAACTTCTTTTATAAACACAGCTTTCCTCTAGTTTCAACAGATCACTGAAGCCGAGTCTGCAGATTGGTTAAGGAAATATCATTTTATATTAAAATGCCAGACAAAGAAACCTCTGCACTTATGCTGAGCCTTTTCCTGATCAATTTAAAACAAAACCAGACTGAAAATGGTTAATTTACAGAATCATGAACATGGTTAATATGTTATATATTATGATATAAGATAATATTCATTTACTTCTACCATTGCAGTTGTTGTGGTAAAAGCAATTAGTAATTTGGAAAATGTAAATATTTTTCAGAAACATTTAATTAATTTGTAATCTATTTTTATTTATTTGCAATCGGCGATGATCAACATTTTTTTATTGACCAAACTAAAATTCAGTGTATATGAATGGGGGTGGGTGGGTGGACCAGAGGGAACTATTACTTTACTCTTTGTTTGGCATTTGTTTAACCAGGAAAGTCCCTGTGAGATAAATTATGTATTTTTTTCATGGAAGTTCTCAGGGGAGCGATGCAGTTGGGGAGGCTGGGATTAAACCAACAACCCTACTGTTATCTGCTCTTCGCCTTAACCACTGCACTAAGGAGTTACACATACAAATCAAGGCACACATTAACACAAACGATATGCTTGAATACGGTCAACATTCAGTTTGTTTTACCTTGCTGTTATTGTTATTATTACTAATTAATATTTAAACATTCACTTTTATTTATGAGAACTTTCACTTAACAGAAATTTTGGTAATATTTTGTCTAAATGCCGTATATAGGTGTGACAGCTAAATTCAGTTTAACATCTTGTTTTTAAAGTTTTATGTTTCACTCTGGATGAAAGGACTTTAATGTGCTTTTTAGTCTCCTTTACAAAGTGGTATAGCTTGTGAAGATTGTGCATTCTTAGACTGAGCAACACAGCATAACGGGTGGGTAGCGTCTCACATAACATATACCAGAATACGCCCTTTCCAATAGTATCCTGATGATGTTTGGTACCTATTACATAAGCTCCTCCTCACCAACCCAAAGGCCTGCTGGTCCAAGTCAGGATGCAGCAACACTGTCGTCAGACTGCTTTAAATTGTTGATGACCGAGCCTCAACATAAATACTGAAACCATGCTCCAGCCGGGAACCTAATATGCTGCTGTCACAGTATTAAACCACTTTTCCTCTTCATGGTTGCAGGGAGCTGGTGCCTAAAGCCTAGTTTGTACTTCTCAAACTGTGGGGGTGAGAAGACTGACAGCACCAATGCAAGGATGGGTGGAGTAGGGCCCAGTTTTTGAACTATTCGTCAAATGCAACAGAGTGCACTTCAGCAGCCAAAGATCATTTCTGGCTTGATGACACATCCTTTGATTTTGTCAACGATGTTTGTGTTGACAGTGTGGTGAAGAAAGTATCTGAAGTACATTTCACCATCACTGTCCCTCAAAGGTTGAACAAGAGCTGCGTATTTGCTGCCTTGTCCTGTTCAGTGGATGGACATTCCCCCAACGCCAACATCTCCTTCGCTCCCATTGAATTCTTCATAACTGAAGTTGTTCCTCAAAGTCAAGCAGTTCCAGCACAATGAAAAGTCTCTCTGTTGGTTTTTGCTCTTTGAATGGATTTGCATTTAAAAATTTAACTAAATAAGCTGTCATCGTCCAGAGATGTCACTGAAATCGTAGGCAGACCCGCCAGAAAATGACCATCCATGCCCCCTGCTGTCCTGGTGGAGAACTGCTTCATAACACTGAGACACCAAAGGGAAAATGTCTCCATTTACATGCAAGCGTCTGAGTGTAAACTTGCTGATGGAAAAGTATAAACTAGACTAAGTACTGCAATGACAAATCTGCAAAACAAGCTAGATTTTCAGTGGCCCAGTGGTAGAATGTCCACCCTGGGACTGGGAGATCAGGATTCTAATCCTGGGCGGGTCATACTAAAGACTTTAAAAACGGGACCCAATGCCTCCCTACTTGACGCTCAGCTTTAAGGGGTTTGATTGGAGGGTTTAACCACCAAATAGTTCCTGAGTGCAGCCACTGCTGCAGCTCACCGCTCCTTACGGGGATGGGTCAAATGCAAAGATGTAATTTCACCAGTGTGTGATGATGACTAATGGGACTTTAACTTTAAACACAAACATGGTCAAGGAACTCTCACCCCTCTGGTCAGCCATCATCCCTCAGCCCTGATATATGAACGCATGTTGTCACAGTAAACAAAGTAAGCTGTGTGACCAGCCTTAACATGCATGTATTTGGTCTGTGGGAGGAAACCGGAGTACCCGAGGAAAACCCACACATGCTTGAGTAGAAAATGCAAACTTCAGTCAGAAAGGCCATAGGGTTTTAACCTGTGACCTTCTTACTGCGAGGAAAAAGCATTACCAGGTGCACTATGATGCTAGCCTATAACTCTAGATGGACCGCAGAAGTAGCAAAATGATTTAGCTTTGCAGTTCGGCCTTGGCATGCTCCATTGGAGCCTCAGCAGGCTTGACCAGTCTTGTGTCTTGCCAGTCACAGTGCTCTATTGGTTTTGTGGGCCAATCACAGCACTCTGTCAGTTTGTTGGGCAAGATGTTACTGTGACTGAGGAAAAAAGCAAAGATGGTGGTGGCTCGTTTGAATCAAAACTATTCAGACGGGCTTTTCTTTGAGTCAAGAGCAGAAGTACTAAGTCCTTTATGTAGAAAAAGGGTGTATTTGTGTCTTCTTCAGCAGTGTGGACTGCCCTGTTGACTGCCATTCGTAGCGATGTTACAGTGTTTGTTTTCTAATATAGAATGCAAAGACGGTTTGAAACACAACCATAGATTTCGCCATAGACTGAGCTTTCTCTATGGGTTGTGGCCAGACTATTTTATTCACATATGCCAGGCTAGTGGCTACCACCATGTTGCTCAGTCCTCAAATTTCAGACAAATTGCAATGCTTCAGGGTGCTGAGGCAATGACAGTAAAGTTGATTCTGATTCTCCATGACCTTTTGTGTATTCAGATGTTTATTTTCTGCTTGTTTATTTTCTTTGTTATTTATCACATTCATGATTGTGTTTTATCTGTAATGGAAATAGTCAGGTTTCATGTAAAGCTGACTGCTTGGGTAAAAGACTAATATTTACTCACTAATTTAAACCTTTAAAAAAAACTTTCCACTAATCTCTACTTAAGCATCCTCCTCTTGACCTCAGTAGCAGGTGGTTGTCTCAGACCATCAACAAGACTGATCAAATATCTCACCAAACATCATTTATGAAGAACACAAAGCCTGATGCTGAAAGCCTGCCATTGCATTTCGTTAAGTCACAAACACAATGAAGATGTCCGTAATGGATGACTTTAGGTATTGAACCAGCTGCCCAAGCACTGCTGTCTGTGTTTAACTTGTCTCCACACTCTTTAAGACAAATAGTCACTTTGTGTGTTTGTTTTCTGTTTTAAAGTCCCACCAGAGGCAACACAACAAAGACAAGCCCTTCAAATGCTCCGATTGCTTTCGTGCCTATTCAGACTCTGCCTCGCTGCAGATCCACTTGTCTGCACACGCCATCAAAAATGCAAAGGCCTACTGCTGCAGCCTGTGTGGTCGTGCTTACACCTCGGTGAGTCTGACCTGTTTTTCTTTTCTGCTTTCACGTGAGCTTTAAAAGCTGAAACTGCAGTAAATGACTGCTTTGCAATCATCTTCCCCTCCAGGAGACATACCTGATGAAGCACATGTCTAAACACGTCATGGTGGAACATGTGGTGTCCCATCATTCTCCTCCACACAGGACAGATTCTCCCAACATTCCTTTACGAATCTCCTTCATCTGAGCCCTCTCGTCCTCCCGTCTCAGAATTTTACTGCTCTGACGGACCCCGAAACTCAGAAAAGGGTTTCAAACGTGTGCCAGCATTTTGAGAAGAGGTGCTTCTTTTGATGAGTGTGCTCCCTCTCATGCTGAACAGAAGATACTAACACGGTCATCCAAAGATGATTTCAGCACTTTCAGGCCTGAAACCAACAGGCCAATTGCCTCGTTTTTATGTGACTTGACAGGGAAAAAAAGGAAAACAAGTAATGAACGCTCCAGGCAGCTACAGGCGTCATGTTTTTTAAATAAGCTATTTAATTTCTTCCTTCAAGTTTTCACGAAATTCACGTTTACTACCAGAATTTGTTTTCCATTAATAATTGTCCAGTTTTAGGCATGTGTTTTCATCTGTTGCATCATTTATATGAAATTTGATCTACTGCATGGCGCTTTTGTTAGTCATTTTCCAAACTTTTCTTAACATTAGATGGCCAATTTATCTAAAATTACAAATAATCACCTGAAAACCCAAAAGGACAGGGCGCCGTTTAGTTTTTCTGGCACATTAGATGAAGAAAACCTTACAAAAATGTCCAAAGATAGTTAAATGACACCATGAGTAAACATTCTGGTAACACTTTACAGTAAGGGTCTCTTTATTAACGGTACTTAGTGGATTATTAAGCATTAATAAAACAAAGGATCCAACAAAGGATTTTACATCCCTGTAGGAAGTAAAAAGCAGCATTCCATGATCAGAAGAAGCACTGCTCTGTAGGAGACCACAAGCGTCATAAATTACAGAACTTTGGGGGAATTTCCATCAGATTTTCTGCGTTGGGAGTTTAGAAACTACGACTTTGAAGCAGCATCAACACTGCTAATCTTTTTCTTTCATTTTGCTTTACCTGAAACTCTACCAGTTTTACAAATGACAGTTGTTTGGTTATGTTTGCTTTCATTACCTATTGAGTTACAACCAATCAGCATGAATTACCCACAGGTTCCGCCCAGCGACGACCAGGCCTTTTTGAGTACATACCCGTGTTCATGTGCTAGATTGGTTCCTAAAAGGGTCCGGAAAATAGTCTTTTTGGGTTGGTGTGGTGAAATGAACCCACATGCAAGTCGTAGGGAGTCCAAGGTCAAGGTCAAGGTCACATAAATTTCTAAAGCACACTTATTATTGCTTCCACAACCCAAAGTGCTGTACAACACAGAAGATAAAATTGCAAACAAGTATAACTAAAAACCATAAAAATTAGCAAGTTAGGATAAAAACAGCATTACACCACACAATTATAAAATCAATAAAAATGAGAAAGAATGACAATGATACCATAAAATCATCCTACATAAAAGCCAGGTTGAATAAATGAGTTTTAAGCAAGGACTTGAAGACTTTGTGAGGTCCTGATCTGCAGAGGAAGACTGTTCCAGAGTGTAGGACCGGCCACAGAAAAAGCCCTATCTCCTCTCGTCTTTAGGCGAGCCTTTGGAACTGACAATAAAAACTGTGAGCTCGACCGCAAATTCCTGGCAGGAGTGTAGGGTGACAAAAAATCATCTATATAAGGAGGGGCCAGACCATAAAGTGATTTAAAAACAAAAAGCAACAATTTAAACTGAATCCTGTAACACACTGGCAGTCAGTGAAGGGAAGCTAGCACTGGAGGTGATCATGCTTCCTTGTACCTGTTAAAAGGCGGGCTGCTGCATTTTGAACCAGTTGCAAGCGGTTTAAGGAGGAATGCCCTAATCCATAGTACAGGGAATTGCAGTAATCTAGTCGACAGGAGACAAAGAGATGACATGTTCAAAGACGGTTTCCGGCAAATAGCACCTAAGCTTTGCAAGTTGCTTCAAGTGATAAAAACCAGACTGGACCACTGCACTTATCTGTCTGTCCAATTTAAACAAACCATCCATAAAAAAAAAAACAGGTTTTTCACATAAGGCTTTACAAAATCCGAAAGGGAACCAAATGGGCTCCCCTCACCCTTTAACAGGTCTCCACTGCCAAAAACTAAAATCTCTGTCTTCAGGTCATTCAATTTCATAAAATTAATTGACATCCATTGCTTCAAATCAGCTAGGCAGGCCATTAAGGAAACTGCTGAATCCGGGATGAGTGGGAGATATATCTGAAGGTCATCAGCAAAGCAATGAAAAGTAATGTTGTGTCTGGCAAAGATAGAGGACAATGGTAAAATATACAGTGAGAAAAGTGTTTGCCCTAAAATGGAACCTTGTGGAACACCACAAGTCACAGGTGCTGGTGGTGATGTAAAAGTTCCCAAGTTCACAGGCAAAGACTGTAGACAAGACTGAAACCAATCAAGCACTGTGCCCCTTATACCAACACAAGACTCTAATCGAGACAACAGAATATCATGATCAATGGTGTCAAAAGCAGCAGATAAGTCTAGCCGCATTAAAGCAGCTGAGTTGCCAGAATCAGTGATCATTAATAAGTCATTCACCACTCGTAGAAGTGCACTTTCAGTGCTAGCCGTGCTTTAAACCCCGACTGAAATTTGTCTGAAATGTGATGTGTGGACAGATAATCCTGCAGCTGTGCATGAACAACTTTCTCCAGAACTTTTGATAAGAAACTAAGTTTGGAAATAGGTCTGTAATTAGATAGGCAAGTTGCATCCAGGCTTGGCTTCTTTAAAAGGGGATTCACTATAGCCAGTAAAATTACCTGGAAGTTCAGATGGTGAAAACAAGCCTACTGCGGAGAAATTCTTATATTGGTGTAGATTCTCATCACATGCAGCTAGCTGCAAAAAGTTGTAAGCTCCACCCCCTCCGTGTATGCAAGCATGATCTGTTGCATAAAAGAGAAAACACCACAGCTGGCTGCTATGCCTTCAATTATTCCTTTTTCTATTGTGTTTGGTTGTAATTTGTTATTTCATACTGAGAACACCATGAATTATTAGCCATTTTAACAAGATACACAATGCTGGCAAATCAACACATTACTAGAAAGGTGCATCTTAAACGCACCATGCCGGCATGGTGATGATATGCGAATTTTATGGTATTCGTTCTGCCTCACTTGGTAGTAATATTGCGGTAGTTCTCTGTCTTATAAATGGGACTGGCACAACAGAGGGTGGTGTCATGATCACGTGGGATTTTACTCCCGAGTTCCAGCCGGCAACTATATTGAAAATATAAGTAAGCACAGGTTGTAAGTTTAGCTTTCGTGAACAGAATTAGCGGAGATGATAATCTGGAGCAATGCAGGGCTCCTGGAGCTTTATTCTGTCAGAGCTGGAAGTCAGATCACCCGAGACTGCACCGAGACAAACGCCTTTATGTCATGTTGGGGTTTACGTGCTTGACCCAAGACATGCAGAATCAACACAAAAGACAAATGTAAAATTAAACAAAGGTTTATTAAACGATGCACAGCTAGAGTGTCCCAAACTGGGAGAAGCAGGAGGAGGGGGCAGAACTGGACCTGCAAGTAGATCTTGGATTAGTAGGAGGTCTGGTGGTTGGAAGGTGGAGTGGAGGTCTGAGGTGTCCAGTGGGGTCAAGATAAGGGTTCCAGGGGGTGGGGGGTGGATGAGCGGTGGTGAACAGGACTGTGGGAAGGAAGATGCAGGCTGAAGAGAGGTTCAAGAGTATGGCTGAAAAGTGTGAAGTTGAGCAGGATCTGAGAAAAACAAGGAGCCAACGTCAGATAGAGTAATCAATAATATAACTAGACTAGAGTTTCCTAGAGAGTGAGTGGCAGGAGAATATCCAACTGGAGATATCCATGTGGAGTAATCAACTGGCGTTGAGCACTGGTCTCCCTCCTTCTTTTAAGCCAGCAGTGGCTGATGATGAATCTGCTGCAGCTGGTCTCATTCAAACACCGCTCACCTGGAATGACTGCAGAGGCTGATTAGAGAATGAGCTGACCTCGGACCATGACACTTTAAAGTTAAAGTCCCATTAGTTGTCACACACACAGGTGTGTGTGCAAAATTTGTTCTCCGCATTTGACCCATCCCCTGGGGGAGCGGTGAGCTGCAGACACAGCCGCGCTCGGGAAGTGGCTTGTTAAAAAAACCTAATGAGCTTTGATCGCAATAAAAAAGCAAGCCATGTCTAAGGCCCTGTCCACACGTAGCCGGGGATCTGCCAAAACGTTTTCTACGTTTTGGCCTGTCATCCACACGAAAACGGAGTTTTTTCACATGAAAACGGATCTTTTAAAAAACTCCGGCCAAAGTGAAGATCTGCGTTTTCTCAGTTTTGGGTGTCTGCGTGTGGACAGACAAAACCGGAGTTTTAAGGTCCGCAACGTCACTTTCCGTGACAAAAAAATGCTGACATCACGTGTGCGACCTGTGTTTACACTAGCCGACAGCATGGATGCCCTCAGAGCTGCGCTCGCTTTATCAATTGTCCAAGCACTTTTTGCTTGTTTGTTTTTGCAAGCGGAATTACTGCTCCTTGCGGAAGACCACAGACGAAGGACGAGGTTAAGAACGGGGGAAGTACTGCCGCCTACAGGTCTGGCATGTCCTTAACAACGTATTTATCCGGGTACGTGTGGACAGAGTTTTTTTTTAAACGAGGTGGTGTGGATACAAGTTTTTTGAGGGGCGGATATTCGTTTAAAAAAACCCGGCTACGTGTGGACTAGGCCTAAGATAAATGGAAGTCCGCGGCAGTGGAGAACCCACCCCCTTTATGCCGCCATTGTGTAATCTTTTGTGAAAAGGACACGGTTGCAGCACATTAAACGCCACCGTGCACTTGTAAATGACCTAAGGCTTTCCTGATCCCGCCACAGTGTTGCGGCAAACTGATGGCATTGTTTTGTAAAATAAATTATTGTGGGTCAGTGGGCACAGCTTTCAGCTTCATAATCAATACACAACATGGCAGCACCTGTAAATGTGTCCCAGGGACGCTGAATGATCAGGAATCCCTGCAGCTATGCTGATTAATACATTTATGTGTTCACAAATCCTGAATCATTTGATATTCTTTCCCTCAAACAACTGCACCACAACCCATGTGAGGGCCAAACGAGAAGTCAATCATCAGTGTGCAGGATCTAGAGAGCAATACCTTCTGACTAAAAAATCACTCTCATCTTTTCTAACATCTTTTCGAAAAACAACAAATTTATATTTTTTCTGCATTTAATCAAGATTTTGCTAATTTCTGCTCAGTTAAATAAATGCTTAATAAGTAAAGTCCCCATGTGATCGTTAATTAAACCACCAAATAGATCCCGAGCACAGCCACAGCTGCATCTCACCGCTCCCCACAGGGATGGATCAAATGCAGAGAAGAATTTCACCAGTGTGTGAAGACTAAAGTGACTCTAACTTTAACAAAAACTGGTGATTTTACATTATAAAATGTATTTTAAAACTTATTTTTCTCTTTTGTGAGCCCTTCTCACAGCCACTCATAATCAAATTGAATAAGATAATTATAGAAATGATCACATTTATGTGGTCAACTTGTATTAACTTTCTTCATTGTTTGAAAGAGAATTATATTTGACTTTGTTCAGATATAATCAGTAATTTTTTTTCTCGAGGTGGATTACTTTAACTTCACTGTGTTTAGCAGTATTATAAATTAGCTAAATTACATTGCTGAAGTTCAGATAACCTCTCAAATACACTTAATTTTTTACTAAAGCCATGACAGAACACGAGAGCTTGATGTTTAAATTACATTTTACATGCACATCTGCTTAAGCTGCTATTTACTGACAGCACCACTGCTCACCTGCAGCACAGACACAAACTGGGTCTCCTGCCCTTCCAGTTGGCTCTTGGGTGCCCTGAAGAGTGAAAAAATGAATGCAAGTGAATGGGGCCAAAAGCTGTTTTCAAATTAGCTTTGCCTCACGACTTCAGTTGTACATGTGTTGCACATCAATTTAAATGAAAAGTAATGTGTGTTTAGACCACGCTTGTCACATATTTAGAGATTAATCAGCTTGTAAAAATTTTGTAATTTACTATGACTAAAAATCAGGTACATTGCATATATAACATCACCACATAACCGCCTCGCCCCCAGCCTAGCTGCTACTTATCACAGGGCCAGATGTATAGTAGTTCCTCCTGAAGAAGGTAGCTAAACTTACAGCCATTTTCCTCAGATTTTCTGCATGTCTGGTTTGATTATGTCAATTTGGTGATGCACATTTGTAGTTATGGACGTATTTTCACACAAAACCTAAAATAACGTTTGTACCCGTTCAAAAATAAGCGCTTTCTTGGCATCAGAATGTGTCTTTAAAATTCACGGACATCATATGTAAAATCCAGGGCACGTAACAAACGGGATTAGAAAATAGCGTTTTTAACCCCATTGACTTGCATTCATTACTTGGTTCTTCCGGGGACCCGTGGTCCGGAAGTTGAACGGCGTGTCTCCCCATTAACAGTGATCTCTGTTATCCTGCACCGTCCTGGGAGCAGCTTTATAACATGTTGCAAAGTTTTATACATTTTATTTTGTTATTTTACATGCATTCCAGCCTTGACTTTGGTACAAGTTTTTGTTCAGTCAGTTTTTCACATAACATTTGCCTTTTGTGTGAGGACATGAAAACATACTGTAAATAAACTGTGTTGCAAACCCATTTGTGACTACATGCGTTCTGTTGTTCTGATGTTTCTTCCAGGTTCTTGTAAATGTGAGGTTGTCAGTATTTAATAGGAAACAAGCCCAACTCCTTGTGTTCAAATGAAACGACAACAAAGCCAAACAGGCAGCCTGTTGTTTAAGGGAAACACTGTCATTAAGTGTAATGACAGAAGTATAGCTTGTAGAGCTGAATAGAATGACTGAAAAAAGTTTGTACAAGGACCTATTTTTCTTATTTAAATCAGAAATCTGGAGTTTTTTTTAATCCAACGACATTGTTTAGAGATTTGCAAAAAATCTCCATCTTCTATATTTTCAGCCGAAACCAATGCATCTCGTTCGTGAACCCGCACTTTTAGCTGCCCGCATTGGAGAAAAAATGGTTGACAACTCTTCTTCTGGTTCTTTTAGAGACCACTTGTTTAGAAGGAAGTATAAGCCACACCCATTCAATTAAAGTCAAAAGCTTTTCTTTTCCTGTGCACAGAGGAGGGAAATGAAAGGACGCCTGACTCCTGATGCATTTCTGGGGCTTTTCCAGATGCTCACAGATTTTTAAGCTCTCCTTACCACAGACCTGCACACACACGTCTTATCTGGTCATACCTCCAGGTTATTTGTTACATTTTTGTTTCTATCTTCCCTATCTGCCTTCGTCATTGATGTGGTTTGGTCCGTAGAACGTCTTGCGGTTAACTCCCTTTCCTGTATAGCTACAAAGCCACATTTTCTCACAACAATTTGCATTGTTCTTCAGTATTCCATGATGAGTCTGTGACTGACAAAACTAGGTATAAGTAAATGTAAAAAATGATATATGACGTATCTGAAAATCTTTAACCCAACACCAACAGAGATGAAAAACATTGTTTTATAATTTTATATATATATATATTTTATATATATTTATATACATATATATATTTATATATATTTATATATATTTTATATATATATATATATATATATATATTATATATTATATATATATATATATTCATATGTAATATATATATATATATATATATATATATATATATATATATATATATATATATATATATATATATATATATATATATATATATATATGAGCATGGCACAATTGTTCGTGCCATACAGGCCGGTCTGAGTATTTGACAATCTGCTCAGTTACTGGGATTTTCACGCACAACCATAGGGTTTACAAAGAATGGTTTGAAAAGGGAAAAGCATGTTGATGCTAGCAGTCAGAGGAGAATTGGCCAACTGATTCAAGCTGATAGAAGAGCAACGTTGACTGAAATAACCACTCGTTACAACCGAGGAATGCAGCAAAGCATTTGTGAAGCCACAACACGCCCAGTCTTGAGGCGGATGGGCTACAACGGCAGATGACCCCACCAAGTACCACTCATCTCCACTAAAAATAGGAAAAAGAGGCTACAATTTGCACGAGCTCACCAAAATTGGACAGTTGAAGACTGGAAAAATTTTGCCTGGACTGATGAGTCTCGATTTCTGTTGAGACATTCAAACGGTGGAGTCAGAATTTGACGTAAGCAGAATTAGAACATGGATCCATCATGCCTTGTTACCACTGTGCAGGCTGGTGGTGGTGGTATAATGGTATGGGGATGTTTTCTTGGCACACTTTAGGCCTCTTAGTGCCAATTGGGCATCGTTTAAATGCCACGGGCTACCTGAGCATTGTTTCTGACCATGTCCATCCCTTCATGACCACCATGTACCCATCCTCTGATGGCTACTTCCAGCAAGATAATGCACCATGTCATAAAGCTCCAATCATTTCAGATTGGTCTCTTGAACATGACAATGAGTTCACTGTACTAAAATGGCCCCCACAGTCACCAGATCTCAACCCAATAGAGCATCTTTGGGATGTGGTGGAACGGGAGCTCCGTGCCCTGGATGTGCATCCCACAAATCTCCATCAACTGCAAGATACTATCCTATCAATACGGGCCAACATTTCTAAAGAAGGCTTTCAGCACCTTGTTGAATCAATACCATGTATAATTAAGGCAGTTCTGAAGGCAAAAGGGGGTCAAACACCGTATTAGTATGGTGTTCCTAATAATCCTTTAGGTGAGTGTAACATATATATATACACAGTCGGGTCCATAAATATTGGGACGTCGACACAATGCTAACATTTTTGGCTCTATACACCACCATAATGGATATCGAATGAAACAAACAAGATGTGCTTTAACTGCAGACTGTCGGCTTTTATTTGAGGTGTTTACATCCAAATCAGGTGAACGGTGTAGGAATTACTACAGTTTGCATATGTGCCTCCCACTTGTTAAGGGACCAAAAGTAATGGGACAATTGGCTTCTCAGCTGTTCCATGGCCAGGTGTGTGCTATTCCCTTATTATCCCAGTTACAATGAGCAGATAGAAGGTCCAGAGTTCATTTCAAGTGTGCTATTTGCATTTGGAATCTGTTGCTGTCAACTGTCAAGATGAGATCCAAAGAGCTGTCACTATCAGTGAAGCAGACCATCATTAGGCTGAAAACAAAAGAAACCTATCAGAGAGATAGCAAAAACATTAGGCGTGGCCATAACAACAGTTTGGAACATTCTCAAAAAGAAGTAATGTAGCGGTGAGCTCAGCAACACCAAAAGGCCAGGAAGACAACGGAAAACAACTGTGGTGGATGACCGAAGAATCATTTCCCTGGTGAAGAAAACACCCTTCACAACAGTTGGCCAGATCAAGAACACTCTCCAGGAGGTAGGTGTATCTGTGTCAAAGTCAACAATCAAGAGAAGACTCCACCAGTGTGAATACAGAGGGTTCACAACAAGATGTAAACCATTGGTGAGCCCCAAAAAGAGGAAGGCCAGATTAGAGTTTGCCAAACAACATCTAAAAAAGCCTTCACAGTTCTGGAACAACATCCTATGGACAGATGAGACCAAGATCAACTTGTACCAGAGTGATGGGAAGAGAAGAGTATGGAGACAGAAAGGAACTGCTCATGATCCTAAGCATACCACCTCATCAGTGAAGCATGGTGCTGGAAGTGTCATGGCATGGGAATGTATGGCTGCCAGTGGAACTGGTTTTCTTGTATTTATTGAGGATGTGACTGCTGACAAAAGCAGCACAATGCATTCTGAAATGTTTCTGGCAATATTATCTGCTCATATTCAGCCAAATGCCTCAGAACTCATTGGACGGCGCTTCACAGTGCAGATGGACAATGACCCAAAGCATACTGCAAAAGCAACCAAAGAGTTTTTTGAAGGGAAAGAAGTGGACTGTTTTGCAAAGGCCAAGTCATTCACCTGACCTGAATCCGATTGAGCATGCCTTTCACTTGCTGAAGACAAAACTGAAGGGAAAATGCCCCAGGAACGAGCAGGAACTGAAGACTGATGCAGTAGAGGCCTGGCAGAGCATCACCAGGGATGAAACCCAACGTCTGGTGATGTCTATGTGTTCCAGACTTCAGGCTGTAATTGACTGCAAAGGATTTGCAACCAAGTATTGAAATGTATAAGTTTGATCTATAGTTCTTATTCTGTCCCATTACTTTTGGTACCTTAACAAGCAGGAGGCACATATGCAAACTGTAGTAATTCCTACACCGTTCACCTGATTTGGATGTAAGTATCCTCAAATATGGCGGTGTATAGAGCCAAAAATGTTAGCATTGTGTCGATGATCCCAATATCTATCTATCTATCTATCTATCTATCTATCTATCTATCTATCTATCTATCTATCTATCTATCTATCTATCTATCTATCTATCTATCTATCTATCTATCTATCTATCTATCTATCTATCTATCTATCTATCTATCTATCTATCTATCTATCTATCTATCTATCTATCTAATGTGTGTGTATAATTGGAAAAACTGGAGTAAATGATTTCATTTTCCAAGAATTCCTGACTGGCCTGGCTTGTTGGGTTTTAAATTTGCATTTTAAATAGCCAGGGACTTTAGTGCACGTGCACACAGATGCTGAGTTCTAAAGTGAAGTGATGAGTCGCAGATTCAACACATGATGCGTCAGTCTTTTAAGGTGGAGTGACCGCGGTGGTGGAGGGCTGAGGTGCGTTTCTGCCCAAAGCCACTCCCTTTTTTTTCTGAACGCTTTACCTTGACTCAGGGCGGTTCCGCAGACATAAACATCCCAGAGCTCCTCTGCGCTGCTGTAGCACATGGATCTAATATCCCGGGAATAATCTGGACGGGTTCAGGATGAGCAGGACCTACAGGTAGGTTGTCGACAAACTATGGCGTTTTTCCGTTTTTAGGATACATTGGCAGACTTGCTTTAAAGTTTAAAGGTTTAATCGATTTTCCAGGCAGCACTTCTCTGAAATGTTTTAAATCTTGGATCAACACTTTCGAAGGAAAAATTTTAAGTTTAATGTTATAATTTGACAAAACTTCATTTTATTTGGAAAGGAAAGATTCGTTTGTGTTTAACAAAAGCATAGTTTTAAATGTATGCTGTTAGTTTTTGTATCTAAAAGTGATAAACGTAAAACAAGTAATAAGGACAGTTGTTTATGCTCGCTGGTTTCATAGCAACAGCTGAAAAATGCATAATGAATCTGTAAATATCTAATCTCTACCATCCATTTTAAATGGATTTAACACTTTATTTCTCACTTCAGATTTGTTCCCTGTGCAACAGCGGTCTAAATAATCCTTTTATTGTAGCGTCTAACCCAAGTTTATGTTTAAATGCTTAACTTGACATCACTTTTTTGTTCATGTTAAAAATGTGTCTTGTTTTCACAAATACTGGAAACACATTAGTTACAATACAGGGAAATGAACAAAAAATAGATAATATTTGACACATTTGTGCGACGTGACCTAACTGGAGATGAAAATAATCTGTGTATACTCAGAATAAATGGAGCATGAGTCAATTCTTCACCACAGTGGAGCAACAGTGAGACACTGATGAGGGACAAGAACAAAGGATGTATGAACACACAGAGGTGGGATTTCTGAGGTGTGCTAATTGTAAATTAATCACAGGTGTGACAGAAAAAAGGGGTGTGTCAAAATAAAACCAAATTATCAAAAATAATCAGAATTGGTGAATCTTTGGTGAAAATTTAGACAGCAATAACAAACTTCTGCTTTTCCCTTGTTAAAAGTACACACACACACACACACACACACACACACACACACACACACACACACACACACACACACACACACACACCTCTGTATCCATCTGTTGTTTCCTTCACCATTTTATGTTTATTTTCTCTCAGTTTTCCATGTCTGTGTTTAACGCTACATTTTTCCTTATTCCCACTCCTTCTCAAAAATTTCCACTCTGCTTGCTTCATGCAAGCTGGAACTGGTCCTTACCTTTGGGTTGTTTACCTTTTAGGTAACTCATTACACTTTAACATATCGGGTTCTAAAGTATTGTTTGAATCTTGAAATCTTAATAGGGGTGTAAACCGACATAAAATGTTTAAATTGTGACACGTTTGTTTGGATCTAGACAAACTGGTTTTTGTATTTGGCTTGAAAAATATGAGTCTGTTCAGTGGTCTTCATTTTCCACTCTTCACCTCTGCTTCTTCTTTTGTTCCTTCCAGTCTTCTTTGTTGCAAAGCAGCAAAAATATGCAAAACATTTTTAGTCTGAGGATTGATGCTACAAATGTATTAAATGTTTCTTCATACGCAGTTTTGCAAAACCACGATTTTTTATTTTGTCGTCACATTCAAATAGTTTTTATTTAAAGTGACATTTTTCTTTATCATTTTTGTCCCTTAAATGACTAATAATTCGTCCTTGTTGGTGTTCTACCCATCCGGCACAGAACAACCCCATTTGTCACCTGTCCTGCTGGCCTTTCTTAACCTATTCTAACTTTGCTAACAAAACTTAACTGCCTTGACATTTCTGCTTTTCTCACCTTGGTGCAAAGGGAGCATACCCTTCACTTAGAGGTGTATGGGCTATAAAGAAGTAGCTGTTAATGAGACTAAAGAGCAGCCTGCTTCAACACTATCTGGATTTTAGATTTAATTCTTCTTTGAGACAATAAATGCCTCCGATTACAGAAACAATGCAGCCACAACAGGTTTAGCTCTTCGCAAAAGTCCCACGTGATATATTTTATTTTAGATTTTTACAGTGTTGCCTGTAAACACACTCTGAGTTTCCCCAGCTCTACTTTAGTATTTTTCCTTCATACTTTAGTTTTTTCCTCGAAGTGTGACTCATCTCTTTGTGTTTTGCTGTTTTCACAGCGCCTATTCATCTTGACCTTTGAGCATAGTGGGTTTAAGTTGGTAGGGTTTGGTTTCACGCTCAGGCTTGAAGGTTTATAAATACATTTTGTGGTGTCATTTTCTTCCACCTGCTGCACACTTTTGTTCCAAGTTTATTGTTGATGCTTCAACTTGGAAAGATCCTAACGGCATGACTGAAAACACGCTAAACAGTTGTGACACAAATGATTAAAAACAAGAATGCACTGAAATTAAAATTCTTGTCCAAAATCAAAAATGAGGAAACCAAGGCAGAAAACCAAAACCCCTAAATAAATTATTGTGTCAATTATTAGAACCGTAGCATTTATGGATACAATGTGTACTAACCTCTAGGGATGTCCCGATACAACTTTTTCACTTCCGATATACCGATATTGCAGCCTTCAGTATTAACCGATACCGATATCAATCTGATACAATATCAGCGCAAATCATACATACTTTTACCTAGTTCATAGTGTGGAATGTATGAAAGGCTCGATCAAGTGATATTACTCAATCGGAGAACAAGAGCCAATAACAGTAAGTATGGAAAAGATGAAAATTTTTTATTAACTGTTGGTTGCAAAAATGTGCTCCTTAACGGACTGCTTATATCGGAGCGTTTTGATGCCGTCCGATATAATCCAATACACAGTTTTTTGGCCGATATTGAATTACGTCCGATGTCGGAACGGGACATCCCCACTAACCTCACAAAAATCAAGGCAATAAATCAACTACAAAATGAAAATATGAAAATATTTTTTTAGCACTGACATAACAACAATGCATAATATAAAATTTAATATTTCACTTGATCTCGCTTCTGTGTACATTAATAATAAATTATAAATAAAAATGTATCGTAAATGTAGAGCCTTATAACTGAAAGACTTGCTGAGAAAGGCTGTAAAATTAAATATGTTCTCTAATAAAAGCACTAAGTGTCAAGTGGCTTTTAAATTTTTTCGAGTAAGACTATAAAAAAGTGCATTCGGAACAAGTGCAACTGCTGACAAATATAACAATATTTTCCCTGTACAACAGAAGTGTTTCAAAACAAAGATTAGCATAGCCTGTAGGCCTTTATCGGCAACAAATGCACCACAAATTGTGGACGTAGGCTACAAAGTGGAAAACGAATATTTAAACTCTACACACATGCACTCTACACACATGCCCTTTCTACTTCTTAAGGTAAAGCATCAGGTTTTTCTTGATGAAGAGTAGCATTTCTTATCTGTCACACTGAAGTCTCACTGTGAGTGCTAGTGCGCACAACATGGATTCGGAGAGTAGCATTTAGGACTATGTGTTATTTTGGGCATGTTGCAGGTCTACGTTTCCATAAAAATTATTTTTGTTCACAAATTCAGAAGTTTCTATGGTATTAAAATCATAATCACTGCTTTATCCGACTCCTGACTACGCCACTATGTTGGATTTCTGTTTAATAAATGCATGCACCGCATTGGTCTAAAACGATCACTTGAAAGCTGCTTTACATTCAATTTACGCTCAAAACGAACTAGTTCCAAATTAAAACAATGATCGTAATACAACAGCATTAATAAGAGGAAAACCTTTAGTTTTACTATTTTTATGAAACAAAGAGCAACTTTCCACAAGAGCGTTGAAACAAAAACGGGGTTCGCCTGACGGTCTATTTCAACCGTTGTAGGTGCCGGATCTGCTCGGGCTGCCGGATCGGCTCCAGATTCTGCGCCTGTCGATGATGTCACACTGTGTCTTAATAAATTCTTGTTTCTTAATGCCGCAATGTTTTTAACTGTAATTAGTTAATTAAAAAATCTCTTTTTTTTGTAAATAATGTAAAACTACATTAAACCAACATCAAACTGCCAACAAGCACGACAGTTCTTACATGTGAAAAATTCTAAATGTATTTACATAATTAATAATAATAATAATGCACAGATTTTATATAGCGCTTTTAACCACTACTCAAAGACTGTTAACAAACCAGCCATTTCAGTTTGTATAAATGTGGAATTCTTCCGTATGTTTTGTTAGTTCTTACTAAATACTTCCATTCGTTCATTCAAAACGTCGATTGCAATTTATTTGATAAAATCTAAATTTTTATTTTGCCCCAATTCTTCAAAATCAAGAGCTGCTGAGGGTCTCCATTTATCAGTAGATATTTTTGCTTTTATTTTACGTTTTCTTCAGCAATACAAACATTTTCCCCAAAAAGCTTTTATTTTTGGACTACAGCAACATGACCAGAAATTAGTTTGGACCAATCAAAATTTTCAGTATCAACATGCTAACGTAACTTTCTGACTGTGGTATTGTAACCTCTGTGAGTTCGACATTCAGCCAATCCTCTACGGCTGGCGCAGGACCCTGAGCCGATCTGGCAGCCCAAGTAGATCCGGTACCGGCACCGTGTTGTTTTGGTGGTTTAGGTCTTTTGGCCAAAAACAGAAAATGCACTTTTGGGTCATTTTCGTCCAAAAATTTTCCAATGGCCTATTTTCGGCGCATCCCTAATAAAAAACTTATTTCATATATTGCACATGTATGGAGCTCATTTAACAGTTGCACATCTCTCTGATAAGATGAACATTTCAACTAATTTAAATCCTCTCTGCTTTTTTCCTTTCTTTAAAGCATCCTCCTCTTTAGCATTTCCATATCTGCCTCACAAGAGTCTTTGTTTAACAACAGTCGACGACCAAAACCCATCCACCATGGGGTATAAATCTCTATGGCTTTTTGTCTTTGCTCTTTAGCCACCCCTCAGTGTTGTAATTTAAGTGTTTTACACCTGCAGGTACATCCAGAAGACAAAGAATGTTTTGAAGTGTGTGCTTCTCCTTCCCGTTGTATTATGCATCGTTTACTTCACAGGTCCATCTGTTCGGTGAGTGTCAAAATGAGTCTTGATCTAAATGACATAATCCATAAGCTTTGATGGAAATTTATTGCCACATTTTTCCAGTAAATCCAAAGTGATCTGGTCATTTTGAAAAGTGGTGATTGTGTTGTTTTACTGCCATTCACTAACAGTATCAGTGATCATATATTTTTGTTGAACATTAGTCATATTTATCATATTGTTTGTATTTTGATGAATCAGGCTCATGATAGGATTGCTGCCGATGCAGAGGTGTACGTTGGGAAGTGCAGAGATGCTGATCCTGGATAACGCTGCTGATGCCAGACTTGATCTTCAGTAAGACGGTTTAAACATTTTATCTGCCCTCGATCACTTCTTCAGTGGTTTTCACATCTCACAGGATGTGAAACTGTCCAGCCTTATGATAAAATATTTGACATTTGCGCATTTGTGTGGGTGACAGGCCAAACAAAATGTACCTTGGTTTTGTGAGATAACCTGCCACATGTGTGTAGAGGAGTGCTTTATTGGACAAAACTAGCCACATCTGCTAAGACGTGAAGGCTATGTGATTGGTCTAAACCAGGGCTATTCAATTCTGGGCATCGAGGGCTAGTATCCAGCAGGTTTTAGTGGTTTCTCTGGTCCAACACACTAGATGCAGTGGTTGAATCACCTTTGTAGCAGCTCATCAGGCTCTGCAGAAGCCTGTTAATCATCTGCTGATTGAAATCAGGTGTGTTGAAGCAGGATTAAAGCCAAAACACACAGAATCCTGGCCCTTGAGGCCCAGAATTGAAAAGCCCTGGTCTAAACATTTTCAAGGTGACCCAGTTTTCAGTTAGTGGTAAAATTTTCACATCACACTTCCAAATGGTTGGTGTAAACACACAATCTGAGCACATGAGGCCATAACAGCCACTATCCTCCATTAATGGTTAGTGGTTGATGTTACAAGCCATTTTCCCAAGCTAGCCTAACTCTTCAACAGATGTTACGTCTCAGGATTGACTTGTATTTCTATTTGCGTGGGCGTGACACCAGCCACTCTTTAAAATGCCTGCACTTTGTAGAAGCTGATTAGCAATCACTGCTAACCTAGACTCTGATTCTGGCAAAACCAACTTTATACAGCTCAAGTAGGGCTGGGGGAAACAATTATTTTTAAAACGATTATTCTGACGATTATTTTATCGAATAGTCGACTATTCTAATGACCATTTACACAATTAATCTGATGATTACTTTTCTATTGCACAGTTAATAAAAACCAAAAATCTCTAATAAATTTCTCAAAAAACTGATAAATTGTTACTGTAAGAGAAGAAACACTACAGGCCTTCCATTTTGTATAACACTGCATTTATTGTGTTGTGGTTGGTTATGTTCTGGTGATGTGTAGAACTTGGGAGTGCAGGCTGCTGCCTGAGAGGTGGTTGGAGACGGAGTGTCTCCATGCTGCTTTGTTTTGGTCACTTATGTGCGTGAGGCGAGTGGTGTTACGACTCTTCCTGGGGAGTTTGGCTCGTGTGCAAAAAGGAAGGGACAATAACACGGGATTTAAAAGTTAAAATGATGATTAGGTTTATGTACAACAACAAAAAAAAACATAAATCTTTCACAGTTTGGGAATAATAAACCTAATTCTGCTTGTGGGGAATTAAAACAAAAGTACAAATAACTAGGGATGTCCCTCTGGGCAAAGATTACAGGGTTCTGGACCAAAATAAGGATCTCCAAAGGTCCAAACTCTAAACTGGGTGGTTAAACCAAACTCAAGGTGATATTTTACACTAAACCGAAAACCCACAACACTCTAAATGTAATAAAAGGGAGATCTGCACCACAAAAAAGATGAGCTCTAAACCTAAACGTAACAGCTTATCCAAACGCAAGAAGCTGTTAGCGAAAATGCTAAAAGTAGCTTTACCAACGTTAAGTTCAAGTTACCAAGTTTAAATAAACCAAAAATACCAGCAAACAGACCAAGCACGGAGGAGAGACTGCTGCCACCAAAACAGCTCTCCTAAAGTCTGAAAGAAGCTCCTTTATGAAGGGAGAAACGCTCCCGGTGATTTTCTACATCTGCGATAGAGACGGAGCAGCGCATACATGTCGATGATCCGACCCCGGAAGTTGTTGTCCGTTGCCGGGAGACAAAGGCGGGTAAAACAGGAATCTAGTAGCGGACGGACATTGTTCCGGGTCTTCGGTATTTGGTGGAGATGTTAGTGAAGGCGGAGAAGAGGGTGAACAAGAGGAAAAAAAGGCAGATTCCACCTCTATTTACAAACTCCTGGGGATGCAACAAGTGGGCGTGGTGCGTCGACTACCGGATCTGACGTCGACGTCATCGAGGCTTTGCCACAGCCCTAAGCTCAAGGGAGACTCAGTTTACTCACAACACACCCTCAGTCCATGAAGCTTATGTACACTTCAGGTTAAGACCCTTGCCAGCTGTTCCTTTTATAATAATAATAATAATGCATTGAACTTATATAGCGCTTTTCAAGACCCCCAAAGACGCTTTCACACACTCTCACATTCACACACTGCTAGTGATGGTAAGCTACTTGTAGCCACAGCCACCCTGGGGAGGTCTGACAGAGGCGAGGCTGCCATTTGGCGCCGTTGGCCCCTCTGACCACCACTAACACAGGCAAGTTGGGTGAAGTGTCTCGCCCAAGGACACAACAGCAGGATACCCCTGGCGGGAGCTGGAATCGTACCCATGACCCTCCGATTACGAGGCAACCTGCTCTACCACCTGAGCTACTGCTGCCCCAATGGTGAGGAGACAACTGACTTTACCTGTAGCCTAGGATGGAGGAAACGACTTATATCAATACCTCCTTGGGATGACATTTTCAACCAGCATCTCACCTTTGCTCGGTTACCGACAGGAGGAGACCCCACTCGTAAATCATTTTTTTTCGTTCCACAAATCCGAGGAACTAGGTTTTATTTCACACAGATGAAAAAAGAATAATAATCCAAACGAAACCCCGACAAAGCGGGTTAAAAAGTCAAACAACTCTTTGCCAATAAACCGAGTTATAGCAAAGTTGAGCTGAATAAGCTCTCCAAAAATGACACTAGGTCAGATTATCACAGATAAAAAGCTCAAAGCAAAAGCTTCCTTCTTTCCATCTCTGTACCTCACACTCTTCCCATCAAAGCCCCCACCCCCCGACCCAGTAGCTCCTTTTTATTTACTCTGTCCCCCCTCCCTCACAGTCATTTCTTTGTTTGCTGCTTCAGACTTCAGGTGTTCCTCTTCTTCTTGTTACTTCTCCAATGGCCCAGAAGAGACCGTAAATCTTGGATGTCATGATGTCACCTTTTCTTCTCCCAGTCTTCATCCGTTCACTTGTTTCTTCTTCTCAGCACCTCCTGCAGGCTTCCTTTCTTCTCCTTTGGGATTACATCACCTTCTCTCATAGCCATTGGTCAGTGGGGGGGGGGGGGGGGGGGGGATGTGGCATGATTACCCCTTCCTTTTCTTCTGCCCAGGATCAAATGGTCATCTCCAGCATTAGCTGATCAAGATGTCTTATTTATATGGTTACAGCATCTTGACCAACTCCACAGAGGATAAAAGATAACATACATGCTTATTCCCAACATCTGTTCAGGTCAAAACAGGTCATATCCACAACATGAATCGTTTGACCATATCAGGAGGGTGAAGGCACATCACTAATTTATGACATCACAGTTCAGGGGGCTAGAAGGCTGCCTGGACACACACACACACACAAACATGATAAGAGAAGGTAACAGGCCTTTAGCTTGGTTTCACATAGGGCTGCACGATATTGGGAAAACCTGCAATATTCGAAAAGTGATTAATATTGCGATGACGATATTACTTGCGATAAATAAAAACTTAACTCAGGAACTAAAATAATCAAAAACAAAGATGGAAAGATTTCACATAATGAGAGACATAATCCAGACTTAATTCCATACATTAACAAGTCTGATTATAGTTGACTTCCGACTTCAGTTCTACAGAAGCCTTGTAACAGTCCATCCATTCATCCGAACCAGGAATGTTGAAACAGAACCATTTAAGAGTACATTTAGATGGTTTCAAAAAAAATTACATCCTGAGGTTTACTTGAGGCAAAAGTCTTTTAGCTAATAATTAAATAAGGAGGATATTTGTTAAAAGCTTTACAGTTCTTAGCTTATGGTGAGGTTGCTGTTTGTTTAATCTGGTGGCATTTGCAAGGCTTTGTAAGGAGAGAACAGTGGCTGGTGTTTGGGCATAAGAGTAGGTCCTGATCTTATCTGTGAAATGTTTGACAGCCAGTTGTGCTGTGAGGAGAGGCTTGACAGCTAGTGAGTCAGCAGAGAACTGTGGTTGTGACTAAATGGGAGAGTCTAACACAGCCATGTCTGGGACATCTTTGCTTAGTTCATGTTTAATCATGAAACAATCTCCCCGATTTTAGGTCCCGGCCTGATGTGCAGACTTGCACATCCTGGAGAGCTCCCATCATTTGGGAAGGGATGTTTGACCCCGATCTTTACGACCAGACCCACAGAAAACAAGGATCTTCTGTGGCATTAACTGTGTTTGCAGTTGGCAGGTCTGTTTTCACTTACATTAGCACAGTGGTTGTTTCAGTAAATGTATAAAACCTAAACCCTCTCTTTGGCTCTAAAGGTACTTGGATGCTTACCTGGAGGCCTTCCTGAATTCATCAGAACATCACTTCATGTTGGGTTTACCGGTGTCGTATTACGTGTTTACAGACACACCTGAGAAAGTCAAGAGCATCAAACTCGGCCCTCGGCGAAGTCTTAGAGTGATCCAAGTGCAGAGACACACCAGGTGGCAGGACATCTCTATGATGCGAATGAAGACCATTTCAGACACCATAGAGTCAGATATTCGGCACCACTGCACACACGTCTTCTGTTTTGATGTGGATCAGGTGTTTACTGGGAGATTTGGGCCTGAAGCTCTGGGAGATTCTGTTGCTCTGCTTCACGCCCACTACTATCACCTTCCAGGGAAGCTGTTCACCTACGATCACAACCCAAAGTCCCAGGCGTACATGGAAACCGGGGACTTTTACTACCACGCTGCTGTCTTTGGAGGATCCTGGAAGGACGTGAAGGCCTTGACTGAGGCGTGTTATAAAAGCATCATGGAGGACAAACAAAACAACGTGGAGGCTTTGTGGCATGACGAGAGTCATCTAAACAAATACTTCTGGATTCACAAACCGAGCAGGATTCTTTCTCCAGAGTACTGCTGGGACACCAGCATTGGATACAGGAGTGACATACGGGTCTTTAGACTCCTGTGGGCACCAAAGCACTATAATAAGCTGCGCACATGAGCTCTGGATCACAGGTGCAGTAATGTGCAAAGTTATCATAAAAACTGTGCAAAATGCAAGACTCTGGACAAGATTCAAAGCAAGTTTCTAACAAAATGTAGTTTTAGTAGTCTTTAAAGCAAATGAATGTTATTGTCCAAAGAATTAGTCCAAATAAAAAGTTAAAAACTAAATGGACCTTTTAACAATGTTTGGCAGTTGAAACTGTATGGTACCATTGATTTTGTTTTAAAAAGTTTCAGATCTCTGAGTGAATAGTGATGTTCTGAATCATTCCTAATTCTAATCTTGCTGCTATGTTAAAAGTGCAAAAGCAGCGTTTGAATTTTAAATATGTTGTAGCAGGTCTCAGTGAAACGGCGTCCTGGTCAGCTCAAAGCGTTTTTTCATTTTAGGATTTTAGATTGCCGATATTGTTCTTATTGACAGGAGAGTTGGAATGATGTTTACTTCTTCCTTGTTGAAAACGTTCAATAGACAAACTGTTTAAGAGTTTTGTCAGCAGGTGGAAATAAATGCATGAACATGTTTGCAGACAGACTAATGATTTTAATGTTAAATAGGAGCTTTTAAAAATGTTATGGTGAGATTGGTAATTTTTCAGTCATTATCTTAGCTGCTCATCCTCAGTAGGATTGCGAGGGAGTTGGTGTCTAAAGCTGGGCGGACACTGTGCAACTTTTTCACTTGTAGCATTCAGCTCCATATCGAACTGTACGACTTCCTCGCAGAGGACAGCTCACGAGTCACATTCTCACTGTACGACCCAGTTCTCGGGTGCAATCTTACTGCTCACACTGTACATCTAGTAGCAACACGTCTGACTTAAAAATGTGCTAAATATATTGGTTTTTACCCAACATGTTGGACCTTCAAGTGCAAAAACACAGAAGCCCCAGAGGCTATTATGTTGTTATTGATGTCTGTTGTTCTTCGGACTTGCCGTAGGAGGACACAGGGATTTATGGGGGTGGTATGAAAGTAAACAATGTTTTTGGATCAGTTTTATTTGGCAAACACGACTTCTTGACAATATTTGTCATTATGTGTGGAGAAAGTGTAAAAATAAAATGAAACGACGTGCATTGATACGAAAATAGCTGGTGGGCTGTGTTGATGCATGTGCATGGTTCTGGTACTTTAGGGTCAGAGTGCTGCTTCAACACTGAGAACCTCATGAGGGACAAGCAAAATATCAAATGCGTTTGATATTCATGTTGCTGATCGGGAGCTGGTCATGAGGTGTTAAAAGCATCTTGTTACCCCCTGTACAAGATGCACAATGAAAACTCGCCCAGACCTTAAAGATTCTCGCACCGGAGGAAATTTTGCTCAAAACAGTCAAAAAATTAATAATATCGCACAGGATATGACTTTCCTCAAGACGTCATCTGGCAAGAGGTGGGGGACAGGTCTCCAATCCATCACAGGGACAAACTCACACCTAGGAATTGCATAGAATATAATAAGAATAGAATAAAAACTTCATTGTCCACCGTGTTGGAAATTTTCCTTCGGCTCAAGAACTGAAAAAATAAAAATATTCATGCTTACAAACATTCGTGACATGGTGCGCTTCGGTTGGGTCTCATCGTTTACCTTGGTTAAGGATCAGTACAGCACTTGGTACAAATGATTTCTTATATATATGTAGAGTTTATAAATAACGTAGCATGCATGTTTTTGACCTGTGGAAGGAAAACGGAGCATCTGAAGAAAAAAAAACATGCATGTGGAGAACATGCCAACTCTACACAGAAAAGCTGCAGGCTGGATTCAAACTAGCAACCTTCGCATTGCAAAGAAACAGTGCTATGCCACCATGGAGCCCAAATTGGATAGAAAAACATGAATGATAAATATTTAGAATGTATTTCTCAGCCTCCTCCTTGAACCGTCACCTTATCGTGGTGGAGGAGTTTGAGTGCCCTAATGATCCTAGGAGCTATGTTGTCTGGGGCACTTAGTGCCCCTGGTAGGGTCTCCCATGACAAATTGGTCTTAGGTGAAGGGTGAGACAAAGAACGGTTCGAAGGATCTTTCATGGCGGTTAAAACGAAGAGTCGGAGTACCCGGCCCGGAGGGTTACCGGGGTCCCACCCTGGAGCCAGGCCTGGGGTTGGGGCCCGTGAGCGAGCGCCTGGTGGCCGGGCTTTCGCCCATGGGGCCCGGCCGGGCCCAGCCCGAACCGGATACATGGGCTCGTCCAACTGTGGACCCACCACCCGCAGGAGGAACATGAAGGGTCCGGTGCAATGCGAATCGGGTGGCAGACCAAGGCGGGAGCCTTGGCGGTCCAATCCCCGGACAAGAAAACTAGTTTTTGGGACATGGAACGTCACCTCGCTGGCGGGGAAGGAGCCGGAGCTTGTGGCAGAGGTTGAGCGGTACCGGCTAGATATAGTCGGACTCACCTCGACACATTGCATTGGCTCTGGAACCCGAGACCTGGAGAGGGGTTGGACACTCTACTTTGCTGGAGTTGCTCCGGGTGAGAGGCGGAGGGCTGGGGTTGGCTTTTTGTTAGCCCCGAGACTCTCTGCCTGTGTGTTGGGGTTTACCCCGGGGGACAAGAGGGTAGCTTCCTTGCGCCTTCGGGTCGGGGAACGGGTCCTGACTGTTGTTTGTGCTTATGGGCCAAATATCAGTTCAGAGTACCCACCCTTTTTGGAGTCCCTGGGACGAGTGCTAGATAGTGCTCCATCAGGGGGCTCCATTGTCCTGCTGGGGGACTTCAATGCTCACGTGGGCAATGACAGCTTGACCTGGAGGGGTGTGATTGGGAGGAACGACCCACCTAATCTGAACTTGAGCGGTGTTTTGTTATTGGACTTCTGTGCAAGCCGCAGTTTGGCCATAACGAACACCATGTTCGAACATAAGGATGCCCACCGGTACACTTGGTACCAGGGCAGCCTAGGTCACAGGTCGAGGATAGATTTTGTAGTCGTATCATCTGACCTGCGGCCGTATGTTTTGGACACCCGAGTGAAGAGAGGGGCGGAGCTGTCAACTGATCACCACCTGGTGGTGAGTTGGATCAGATGGCAAGGGAACATGCCGCGTAGACCTGGCAGACCCAAACGCATAGTGAGGGTCTGCTGGGAACGCCTGGCAGAAGAACCTGTCAAGACGGTCTTCAACTCCCACCTCCGGCAGAGCTTTGACCACGTCCCGAGAGCAGTGGGGGACATTGGGTCCGAGTGGGCCTTGTTCCACTCTGCGATTGTCGAGGCGGCTGTGGTCGTAAGGTGGCCGGTGCCAGTCGTGGTGGCAACCCCCGTACCCGCTGGTGGACACCAGAGGTTCGGGGAGCCGTCAGGCTGAAGAAGGAGGCCTACAGGGTGTGGCTGGTCTGTGGGTCTCCGGAGGCAGCAGACAGGTACCGGATAGCCAAGCGGGGTGCAGCAGTGACAGTTGCCGAGGCAAAATCTCGGGCGTGGGAGGAGTTTGGTGAGGCCATGGAGAAAGACTATCGATCGGCTCCAAAGAGGTTCTGGCAAACTGTCCGGCGCCTCAGGAGAGGAAGGCAGCAACTCGCTCACACTGTTTACAGTGGGGATGGGGAGCTGCTGACGTCAACTGAGGCTATAGTCGGACGGTGGAAGGAATACTTTGAGGAGCTCCTCAATCCCACCAATGCGCATTCCGAGGAGGAACCAGAGCTGGGAGGCCTGGGGATGGACTGTCCGATCTCGGGGGCAGAAGTTGCTGAGGTAGTCAAACAACTACACAGCGGCGGAGCCCCGGGGGCGGATGAGGTTCGTCCTGGGTATCTCAAGGCTATGGATGTTGTAGGGCTGTCATGGTTGACACGTCTCTACAACATTGCGTGGTCATCGGGGGCAGTTCCTAGGGAGTGGCAGACCGGGGTGGTGGTCCCCATCTTTAAGAAGGGTGACCTGAGGGTGTGTTCCAACTATAGGGGGATCACACTCCTCAGCCTCCCTGGAAAGGTCTACGCCAAGGTACTGGAGAGGAGGGTCCGATCGATAGTTGAATCTCAGATAGAGGAGGAGCAATGTGGTTTTCGTCCTGGCCGTGGAACTGTGGACCAGCTCTATACCCTTGCAAGGGTGATGGAGGGGGCATGGGAGTTTGCCCAAGCAATCCACATGTGCTTTGTGGATTTGGAGAAGGCTTATGACCGTGTCCCCAGGGGCATCCTGTGGGGGACGCTCCAGGAGTATGGGGTGGGTGGCTTTCTGTTAAGGGCAATTCAGTCCCTTTACCAGAGGAGCGTGAGTTTGGTCCGCATAGCCGGTAGTAAGTCGGACCTGTTCCCAGTGAGGGTTGGACTCCGCCAGGGCTGCCCTTTGTCACCGGTTCTGTTCATCACTTTTATGGACAGAATTTCTAGACGCAGCCGTGGTGTGGAGTGTGTCGAGTTTGGTGGCAGGAGAATCTCGTCTCTGCTTTTTGCGGATGATGTGGTCCTCCTAGCTTCATCCAGCTCTGACCTTCAGCTCTTGCTGGGTAGGTTCGCGGCCGAATGTGAAGCGGCTGGGATGAGGATCAGCACCTCCAAATCTGAGACCATGGTTCTCGACCGGAAAAGGGTGGCTTGCCACCTCCGGGTCGGGGGAGAGGTCCTACCTCAAGTGGAGGAGTTTAAGTATCTAGGGGTCTTGTTCACGAGTGAGGGTAGGAGGGATCGGGAGATCGACAGACGGATTGGTTCGGCGTCTGCAGTGATGCGGACGCTGAGCCGATCTGTCGTGGGGAAGAGGGAGCTGAGCCAGAAAGCCAGGCTCTCGATTTACCGGTCGATCTACGTCCCAATCCTCACCTATGGTCATGAGCTTTGGGTAATGACCGAAAGAACGAGATCGCGGATACAAGCGGCCGAAATGAGTTTCCTCCGTAGGGTGGCCGGGCTCAGCCTTAGAGATAGGGTGAGGAGCTCGGACATTCGGGAGGGACTCGGAGTAGAACCGCTGCTCCTCCGGATCGAAAGGAGCCAGTTGAGGTGGTTTGGGCATCTGGTCAGGATGCCTCCTGGACGCCTCCCCGGGGAGGTGTTTCGGGCATGTCCTGCCGGCAGAAGGCCCCCGGGTCGACCCAGGACACGTTGGAGAGGTTACATCTCCAATCTGGTCCGGGAACGCCTTGGGGTCCTGCCGGAGGAGCTGGTGGACAAGGCCGGGGAGAGGACGGCCTGGAGCTCCCTAATTGGGATGCTGCCCCCGCGACCCGGACCCGGATAAGCAGAGGAAGACGAAGACGACGAAGTATTTCTCAGCGTATTTAAGTGATTAAATGTGATGTACCGTAAATCCTCTAATATTAGTCTGTATTTAATTAACTGCCGAGTATCATATTTTGGCCGGTGTCTGAGTCGGCGGAGGTGAATAATGGCCGGTTTTTTATTGTGGCCGGGTGGAATGTGGTAACGAGCAAGTACGGGGGGCGTTTGTGTCATCCATCTCCGCCAGTGATGGACCGCGAGGGTAACTTTAACCGTGCGGAGACGAAGAGGAGGCAAAAATTTGATATCAAGTTCAAAGAGAACGTGCTGATTATGCTACAGAACACTCTGGGGAGCAGTAGCAGGGGTTGTATGAACTAGTCACTAGTCGACTTCACCGCTCTATAGTGACTTTTTATGCCTGTCATCGACTAGTCGCTGTCACGTGATAATGACCGGCAAGATGCAGTCCACAGAAAAGACAGCAGCCTGCTGTCAGCAGGTGACAAGTTCCTGCGCGTCGGGAGGCAACGCGCTGTGCCAGAGCGTCGGTACTGACACCCGCCGTAAAAACGGACATTTAACCAAAATGTGACGTTTACCCTCTTGCAATTTAACATTCCCCTCACTCCCATCCTAACCTTAACCAGCTTGCGCATGCAAAGCTCTGATTGTTGACGCACTCCAGACATCTGCGTCCTGAGCACGGCCACAGTAACATTATCAAATCAGGTGTCGCCACCTCAAAAACTAATTTAACATGCCATCGTTCATGTCGGCTCATTTCCTTTTATGTTTTCTGTCTTTTTTTTGTGCCTGATGCGTTTCGCTGCTGCGGATCGGGGCGCATCACCTGTTTTGTCCTCGGTGACGCACCTAACTGATGCAGCCGGCGAGCACTCCGCTGTTTTTGCGGTCGGTAGATCTTTTAAAACTGCAGTTCAAAGGTAACTCATAAGGTGAATATATATGAACCCAGGTAGCAGTTTCTCTTTAGGATTGAGAGGAGATGCAGGAAGATAATAAACAGGCAGGACAGAAAAATAGTCAAATAAAAACAAGTTAGTTTTTGTACCTGGTGGTTGCAACAAACAGACACCATTGAAGGTAAACAGAAGTGAGGAACAGAAAATGAAATAATTATTTTAATGTTTAGAGCAGCAGGAACTCTGAGAGGCTGCAGGCGCATCAGTGAGTTTGCGCCGCTGCGCAGGGGGAGGGGGGAGAGGGCTGAAGCAGAAACTACCGCTGTTAAAAGAAATGTGTTTAACTTTGAAAATGTGGGCGCGATTTTAATTGTCAAAAACTCCAGTGAACCATTAGTTCATTTTGCTCAAATAGAAATTGAGGCCTGCCTCTAATTCTGGTCCTCCTTCCAATAAAGGCCTGGAGCTTGATGAGCTTGAGTCAAATACAGGCCCAGGCCTGTATCTGAGGATTTACGGTATTTGGTACAAATTACCTCATTTTATGCAAAACTAACCTTTTACATCCATGAAGGTCTCTACTGCCTCTGTTTTCTCAGTGTTTGGGTTCAGGAATTTGCCTAAAACAGGCCGTTTCAAAAACCCACCACCACCTCACCTGGAGGACAGCTGAGCGTGGCCAGCTCCAGCTTGTTTTCTTAAAAGTGACAGAGGCCTGAAATGACTCATTCTGGAAATGGCTTCATGTGAGAGGGAAGTGCTTCATAAACCTTTTAACTTTTCACCACAGAACTATTATGATTTAAGAAAAAGTCCTATGTCTCTAACTTAACCAATTATTCAGAAGTCATTGTATTCAAAGACTTCCAACGAAATATGTGAAAAGATAGTTTACTTCTTAAACTATGGCAGTGGTACTCACACCTGGTCCTGGAGGTCTTCTTCTCTGACTTTTTAATGGTGGTTGGCAAACAACTTTAGAGGTGCATTACCGCCACCCACTGGTAAGGAGTGTGGATCAAAACTTCCCTATCCTATTATTTCATTAAAAAACGGTTTTTTAAACCCGACTATTATAAATCCTTGAGTTTAACCCACTACATTTAACAGATCTCAAAATTACTGGGTAACAAGTCCTGGAGGTCAGGTATCCAGCATGATTTTGTTTGAATTCCACTTCAACGCACCTGATTTCAATCAGCAGGTGATTAACAGACTTTTGAAGATTTTCATGAGCTGCTGAACAGGTGAATCAAACACTGAATTAGGTGTGTTGGAGCAGAAGAAAAAGGAAAACCTGCCGGATACCAGCTCTCCAGAACCAGGAGTGAGTACCACTCAACTGCAGACACACAGTCAATCTCAGTTGGTTAGACAATCTACCAAGATAAATCACAGCAAAACTACAACACATTTGTTATCAACTAATGTACCTGAAATAATGATGGCTACATAAAACCAGGGCTGTCTGATCATAATGCAGTTTTGTTCTCTGGAAAATTGACCGTCATCATTTTCCAACTTGTGTTTCAAAATGGCCAAGTTCACAACTCCCTTTGGCTGGTTTTGGGAAATGAATTCAATCATGTCTGCAAGTTAGCCTTTATTATCTTAAATAACTCAGCTGTACAGGTGCTGGTCACTAGATTAGAATATAAGGACAAGGTTGATTTATTTCAGTAATTCCATTCAAAAAGTAAAACTTGTATAGTTAAGTCATAACACACAGACTGATAAATGACTGATTAATTTTGAATGTTTATTTTGTTTAATGCTGATGTTTATAACTGACAACTAATGAAAATACCAAATTCAGTATCTCAGAAAATTACAACATCAATTAAGTAACCTGGCCTGCCAGAACAGTCCTCTGTATAATTCTGCACAGAGAAAGTAACTAACTTATTATTTCTAAAGTTCCTTGTTTTGCATTGGTCTCAACTGATTTTCTAATATTCTGAGATACTGAATTTGGGATTTACTTTTCAGTTATCATCAGCATTAAAAGAAATAAACATTTGAAATGTATCAACCTGTGTGTAATGAATGAATCTAATATACAAGTTTCTTTTTTTGAATGGAATTACTGAAAAATATCTACTTTGTCGCGATATTCTAATTTTATGACCAGCACCTATATTGTAGGCTACACAAAATACCTGAGTTGAATAATTGCTAACATTAGTTTTCCATGATCAGAAACTCTTCCCAACTAATGTCAGAAGAACAATAGAATGTCTTCCTGAAAGTTGCATGTGTGTAAGAAGTGTTTATTTAACCCTCCCACTGTCCTAATGGGTGTGACCCCGCAAGAAAAGTTGACCATTGAGCAGGATTGATGGTTTATCCCTTGGGTCCATGTGGCAGGGGTGAGGAGTGAACACCACCTCACCCCTGCCACGTGGACGTCAAGGGATAAACCATCAATCCTGCTCAATGGTCACCTTTCCTTGCGGGGTCACACCCATTAGGACAGTGGGAGGGTTAACTGTTGTTTAGGGTGTGTAGCCTTGTATCAGGAGAACTAACAATGGAAACCAGCCACTGGCTGCTGTTATGTTCATTAACCTTAAATGTTCATTAATATTTCTGTTGAGTTAATTAAAAAGTTAACTTTATGACTGATTTACCAGAAACAAAGATGAATACTGTGTTCCTACTAAGGCAGCTGTTTTGATATAATTTCTTTGCTATAATTATTGTATTCTGCTATGCAAACATCTCCTTCAATGTTCTTAATTTTTGTGTTTAAAAACATTTCAAAAACATCTTTTGCACTGAGACTTAATCTTCACCATTTAGACAAGTATTTCTGCCTGCCTACGCCGCTTTTTTGTATAAGACTTCTGTAAAGTGAAATAAAATGTACTAAAAATCACCATTTTTCTTAAATATGTTTAATACAAATAGCATTTAAATACTGTTCAACTTAGTTAAATACAAAAGCCGCAAACATGAATTCCTTTTTACTAAATTCTCATATTTAACACACACACACACACACACACACACACACACACAGAGAGAATGAGGTTACCACAAAGACATTTTGTGGGAATATGTTTGGTTTGCTTTCAGAAAACATAGTGAAGCAATCTTAGCGTAGCTTGGTTTTGTCCGTAGTTTTCTGATGTTGGCTATTTTACAACTGTTTCATAATTTTACTGTTTATACTCGGAGTAAAAAATAAAGTACAGACAATTTTGTCTTGGTCCACTGATAAGATTTCTAATACTCTATTTGAATTTCTTTAGATGTGCCAGACAGTCGAGTTTTTCCGAATGAAAGGTTCAGGACGTCGTATTTTCAGTGATAACGAGAACAGACGGAGGACCTAAGAGGTCTGAGAGACTCTGATAAGGAGTCAAGTTCAGGTAACTGAGTTCTGGTGACCGACCCAACGTCTCAGAGCAAAGAGGTGATGTCAGACCTGTCTGCTGGGAGTCACAGATGTGTGTGCTGTCCAGTAAACACTGAATCCCAGCCACCATATCCCTAAAGAAAAGTGCACCAACATTTTAAATGTGTTTCTCAAACTCAAACATTCTGATAGTCTAGTACCAAGACAAAACGTACCTTAGAGGGTGAACTGGTTGAGGGGTAAATATCTGCTGATGATTAAAACATTTCTGAAGTTCCTAAAAAAATAAAAATAAAAAAGGCTTCATTTAAATTTTTTATGAAAATGCGACTATAAAGTTAAGATGACACTAGCGTCACAGATCTCAGTGTGTATGTAAGACATCAGATACTGTATAACAATTAATGACTAGAAAAATTAAAAATGAATTACAGGTCAATTTTACTCATATTTAATGTATTTGGAGCTGTCTCTAGTAGAAATGAATGCCTTGAAAGTCGTGCTCTGGGGGGAAATGCTCTGGTGCGCCTGTTGGAGGACGGAGGACTCGGCTGGAGGATATTTCCTGATATTTTGACATCTTGCATCAGACTGAATAACAGCAACACGACTCTACCACTGACTCCATTTGCTCTGCAACGCTGATGTCTTATCTCAGCAAATAACACAAGCCTGAAGGAGTTCTGCTGTGTGGTGGAGCTGCTAATGCTAACGGTCTCTGCCAGTTGAGATGATCTCTGCTGTTTGCTGGACGTTAAACCAGTTTCCTGTCGTGAGTCAAGATGAGTGACTCGGTGAATGTTAAGTGACAGTGTGACGTAGATCTGTCAGGCTTTTCTAATCCTAGAGCTTCACCGTCTGTTTTCTAGCAGAAGGTGATGCAGGAGATAGGTGTAGGAGACTATTTTCATGTTCAGCCTGCATGAAAAACTGAGTGACTGATTATAATTGGAAATATTCACTTAAAAATGGTGTTTCAGTGAAGTTGACCTTTAATATTTTGTCTGCTGCTGTTTAGGATAAGAGTTAGAATATGGTTTATTTCTATGACCTACAGCAAGTATCTGAGAGGGTAGATGTGATGGGTACCTCAGTAGGGAGGAGAGACTGAGTGTTCTGCAGGTTACGTTCCAGGATGTTGATCTGGTCAGACATGTCCAGTATTTTATTCCCCAGTTTGTTGTTTTCTGTCTCTAAATAATCCACCCTTGAGATGACGACAATGTAAACTGGACAAGATCATTGAGGGAAAAAGGCATCAAAATAAAAAATGCATTAAACAGGATTATTCCTACCTGCTTTTGAACAAAGAAGCTGTGAAATGACTCTCTTTTGTGTTGTTCTCCGCCTCGTTGAGCTGCCATAACAGTTTTCTTCTCTCATCAAGCAGTTTCTCATTTTCCTCTGTTATACACACGACTAGCTCTCTTTCCTGGAATAAAAATTATAAACATCTTTTCATTCATATTCATTCATTAGTCATCAGCCCTGCTGAAACTGAAATCTGTAAACATTGTATACAAATCTGGACAGCTAAAGTGTCTAAACACTTGTTATTTCAGTTGGACAAGTTTAACAGTTTAATCTTTACATTTAGCAGCTTATGCTAAATTTGGTAACTGATTGCCGAAGTTGTTGAATAGCTGACGTGAAGCTGAAACTAAGCTAAACTGTCAAAATGAGCTGAATGTATTTAAAGATTTAGAAGCAAAAATCACCAAGTGTAATAAAGCTCAGAATAAAGGTGAAGAATGGACAAAAACTGCTAAACAGCAGAAAACTTTAATCTTTGAACATTAATTATAAACTCGAAATTTGAATGTTAAACAGCTGTCATTTGAATGAGAATAGTTTAACGGGTACATTTTTACAATTGGCTGAACTGTGAATTTAGAACTATTTACTGATATCTGAAACTGATTAACATATGTTCAGACTTGATATGGGATGGATGAATGGTTGGATGAATGAAATAACAGATGGATTGTTGGATGGATGTTAGAAGGTTTATTGGATGATGGATGGATAGAAGCATGTATGGATTTATATGTGGATAGATGGATTCCTTAGGCCAAGCCAATCGATTTGATGTCTCGCATGTGTGGGTGTGTAAGTCCATTTAGCCAGAAGATGATTGACCTCTCTCAACCAATCAGGGAGCTGGTGGGAGGGAGTGGGGCACTTTCCCACCTTCTGACGGTCAATCAAATTTAACTTGTTTCTAGTTTTAAGTACAGATAGTTCAAAAAGATCAAAAACAGAAGTCTGTTATTGGCTCAATATTCAGCTTTTTATATTCATTCCTATGAAAAGTGATTTGTAGGTCCTTGTGTTGCCATGGTAACAGATGACAGGAGTCTGCATTGATAAAGCAATGTACAATGTCACATGACTCTTTTAAACTTCGAATAACATTTCTATTTTTACAGTATGTTGATACAGTTGTGTCTAAAATGTTATAAAATGTTGTTGCTAAGCACACTGCCATGGTAACGCAGAACACAATATCAAGTTAATACAAGAGTCCTAGGACCAAGCAGGTGTATCATATGTGTGGGTGCATATTTCCTTTTAGGCAGAAGACTATTAAACTCTCAGCTAATGAGAGAGCAGCGAAGGAGGAGGGGGCGGTTCCTGTCTTCTGACTAGTGTTAAAATGGCTGTGCTCGAGATAAGCCAGTTCTGCGCAGATTAGATCAGCGGTGACCGGCGAGCAGTGCATGCTGGTTAGATTTGTGTCTTGCTCTGACGTCATGCATACGTAGGCAACGATATCTCGTGAGATCAAGGCGGCCGCAGATTTTGTAACAAGGCGCTGCAGTTGCTCTCCCTCGGCTGCAAAACTTAGGGGATGATGGGAAACTCCTGGCTCTCACCTGATCTAAGATCTGATTGGTTCATATTTTGATCCAAACATCTGGTGATGGAACATGAAATGTTAGTTGGTCACGTGTATTCTGTAAATCATGTTATGTTGATGACAACAATATAGGCCATAAAGAGAAATGTTTTGTTTTGTCACGTTTCCTACGAGCACACTAAACCTACAGCTGATAACCTTTTACTTATTATTAATAATAATTATTATTATTACAGTCATGTCTTCATATACAATATATGATATCCACAAGCACGTGAGGATGTGTTTCAGCTGCTAACAGGCACCAGAATTAAAATTGAAAACTAAACAAGTGTGAACGCTAACGCGATATCTTCAGCCATCGTCACCCGCGAGCTGCACATGCAGGAAATTGTGTCCGACTTAAACGCCGGCTTTCAGCCACTCCGCCTGCTGCTTCCATCTGCTCTCGACTGTTTTCCAGGAGAGGCGCAGCTCAACTCGAACACGGCCATTGTCAGCTATGCTGCTAGTTTTAAGTGTAAAGAGCTCAGAAAGATAAGAAACGGCAGTATGTTATAGGCTCAATATTAGGCTTTTCACATTAATTTCAATGAGACTTGTTTGGGGATGTTCTTATGCACTTGTGTTACCATGGTAACAGATAATGCATTTAAAATTTATTACAAGATTCCTGAGACCAAGCTGGTCGGTTTGATGTGTCATATGTGTGGGTGCTCAATGCCGCTTGGACAGAAAATGGTTGAACACTCTCAACCAGAGAGCAGCACGGTTTTCCCACCTTTTCCCCCAGCTGTTGGAGGCGCTCTACTCCTGTTAATGAGAGACGCCTTTAAATCGGTCCTTCAAAAGTGAAATTGGACCTGTCAAACTTCTCATCACCATTCGAAAAGTACTGCACTGATTTGAAAAATTCTAAAAGCGTGGGCGGCAGAAGGCTTTGGTGGTCATGGTGTGGAGTCTTGTGTGCCTACCACAAATGTCCTCGAAGATATGAGGAGACATGTGCGTTGAACCCGTGGGGGATGTGGGGGATTCAACACCCACACTTGTCCAGCCGTTTTGCTCACCTCCACACCAGTCTGGTTTCTCGCACTCACTCTGTTTGCCTCATCTCCTTCTTCCCCTCCTCCTTCTGTTTCTCCTTGAAACCCGACATCGGCTGTCGGGTTTCAAGGAGAAACAGGAGAGGGAGGGACGGAAGAGCTCGACTGAATTCATAATTTTACATCTTAACATTAGCTGTACAAACTCTCAGTTTGATAAAGTGAAGAACAACAATTTGCAGAGGTTTATAACGGGCACGGCGCCAGGTTCATTTTTGGGTGGGCCACGGTAATTTTGGACAGACCTTAATAAGCAGCGACTTAAGTGAAGCAGGCAGGTCGCCCTAGAAAATTTCATTTAAAAAGACGTCATAAATTTTCCCCCCGTCATTTTTATTTCTAAAATATGAAGTAAAAACTCCCAATTTAATTTTCATTCATTTCATTTATAGGCACCAGAATGCATTACCTGCACTTCTAAAATTTACCTCTCAACGTAGGACTCTTTCATAAGGATACATGCACACCAGTAGTTTTTAGTTATTCATGGGGCAAAATCTCCAACATTTTTGAAACGATTAAAATGTCAGCTCATCTGTCTGCGCATCAGTGTGCGTCGGGGTAATTCTTTCAAAACAACCAACATCCTTGAGTTTATCCGTCCAAAATAAACAGTCAAATGGAAATATCTGTAACCTGCCATTTAACTGTTTTGCCTTCTTGTGAAGATTGTTGCAAAGAGAAACCATTAAACTTGATAAACCCCAGAGCCATGCGCACTGCGTTGAACTTAGTGACTGTAAATGAGGAGGAAACAATTTAATCGGATCCTTTTCTTTTCAACATGGTTTAATGTAAAGTTTAATTCAGTACAAACTTTAGTTGCACCAATCTAACGAGACAGAGCCTGGATTTGTATTCTGAACAGTTTAAACATGTTTAAAACGGAGACATGCGTGACCCATCTTAAATTCGCACCTGCTCTGCTGTTATGGCAATCAACCTAACAAGATGAATAACATGAAATTATTTTAGGCACAGACAACATCCCCCACACTTTTGAAAATCTTGCAACGTGCCTGTGAGAACATTTCAGCTGTCTGTCGGCCACAGGTGCCTTTTTTCAAAGGGGTTTAAATGGATGAAAGCTGGTACAGTCCTCCTTCTGGGGATTGTAGCACAAAAAATGTAATACCAACAGCAAAACCGAAGACATCACTTTGAAGCTGACAAAAAGCCTAATAAATTTGACAAAATCATTAGTGTACTGTAAAAGAGGTGGTCGGTGGAAATTTGTTTCAAGATTTCATAAATCATGCATTTAACAGTGCTCAGCTGCTCAGATATCATTTCAGACCTCTGAAACATCTCATCACCATTCAAAAACTGCAGCACCTATTTGAAAAATTCAAAAAGCGGGAGCGGCAGAAGGCTTTAATGGTCATCTGTGTAAATTTTTATGTGCCTACCATGAATTGTCTAGAAGCTATGACGAGAACATTTTAGCTGTCTGAAGCCGATCGGAGGAGAAAATCTCTGTTCCTTTGACATGGGTTTCAATGAGACAGAATCAGGGTCTCTCCTAAGGTTTGTAGAGAAAGAAATGTAACACTTAAGGACAAAATGAAACCCATTCTGAAAAGCTGACAAAAATTCCTACTTTTTGAGATATAATTTGTTTCGGTACTCCAAACAGTCTGGGTGTTGGAAAGAGTTGTTTCCAGAAAATGTGAAGGTCAAAGGTTAGTGTGGAATTTTCAGTTTAGAGTGGTGAGAAACATTTTTTTCATTTTGAATATTCTCAAAGAAATGAACAATACGACCACAATGTTGAGTACATTCATGATTTATAGCTCAAAACGAAGGTATATCTGTTAGTTGTACGCCAGCGTGCGTCTCATTTCAATCGGACTTAGTTTTCTCAGGACAATGCCAGAAATGGAGCAAAGGAGGGTCATTGCTCCTATCTCTGCCCATTATAATTTTTGTGATTTTTTTTTTCTGAAAATCTCAAGCCGTACCTCAACTCCTACCTGTGATTTTAGAAAAACTGTAATATCAAAAATATTTTTAGCCCATTAATAGCTGAAAGTCTAGTGAGTTTGTTGAAATTTGAATGAAGTCTCTAGGTTAAAAAGTTAACCTATAAGAGTAAGAGTTCAAAAAAGTAATAGGATTTAGCAGAAAATTGAGCAATCCCATTCATTTCAATGGGACCAAAAATCGCAGAAAAAGCTGAATATCTCAAAGTATAAAATATTTTAATACCAAGTCATTGCAGGCATAGGCTGAACGAGCTGAACGTTTTGATACCAAAATTGTGCAAATAGTTGAAGAATTGTGGAAGTAGTTAAACGCCAAATGTACGGAAGCAGAATAATAAACTAACAGATTATGAAAAGAAACGGGATCACTATAGTTTGAATGCTTTACAGCAGGGGTAGGCAACCCTGGTCCTAGAGAGTAACAGTCCTGCATGTTTTCCAGCCATGCATGAACTTGCAGCTTCTAATTGGCTGAACACACCTGATCCAGGTACAGCAGGAAAATCAAAGATAGCTGGAAAACAAGCAGGACTGCGGCTCTCTAGGACCGGGGTTGTCTACCCCTGCTTTACAGCATTCAAACAATAAACAAACCCTTATTGTAAAGTGTTACCAACGTATTAAAACAGGTTAAGTTACTTCAAATTCACCAAAAGTGAAACGGCACAGACCAGAAGTGCATTTAGATGTAATAAAATTGATCAGATTTTTTTTATCAACAAATTATGCTGAATAAAAAGGACAAAGCTGCAAATTCACCTTGGTTAATGAGTGTGAGCACAAAGACAAGTTCCTCTCTAGATTTTTTATCTTCTCGTCCCGCCGTGAGGTTTCATCATCAAACTTGTGCTCAGCTTGACAAACTTTCTCTTTGTACTTCTCCTTCATGCTGTGGTATTTACTGTAAGCAGATTCAGACAATTTCTTCAGTGTTTTTCATTGTGAATAGTTTTTTTTTGTGTATATTTTTATGACTTATTTACATAATTTGTTATATTATTAGGGTGTAAAGCTCCCATCAGATTCTGGATTTGTGTATGTTTTAAAAATATCGTTATCAGCGTAAATGTCATGATTTTGGTTAAAATAAAATAAATTATGAAAGTTGCACATTCCAGGTATTCTGCTTTGATAATTAAAACATCACCATCGGTTTGTTACCTTCGCTCTTTGTCGAGACATTTAAGAGTTTCACAGATTTCCTTCTTTAAAGACTCACACTCCTCTTGAATAGGCGACAGAGTCTTCCGCAGCTCCTGACAGCCAGAACACTCCTGCAGAAATACCAGCGCAACCAGAAATGGCTGTTTCAGTCTTTTTTCCAGGATTCAACAGACTCTGATTCTGTTCTTTGCAGCTGATTAACAGTCTATGTAAACTACGTTTTATCATGTAAGCACTATGGTAGAACACAGGAAATTACCTTTAAAGGCATGTTTTCTTCCCACAGTTGTTTCTGATGCTCCTTTGTTAACGATGTGTTTTTACTAAGCTGCCGATCTGCCTCGTTTTGCTTGTTCACCCTTCACAAACAAATATAGAATGTTATTGTCAGGCTATCGTTCGAGAAAATTAAAAGGCTTTTTTAGGCCATCCTACTTTTGATCCATGATGCAGATTTTAGCTGTGAGGTGATTCTGGTCTCTGTGGTCCACAAGCTGAAGACACCGCATCTGAAAACATAAACAGGTTTCAACACTTTCAGTTCAGAATGTTTTATGTTTTCTTGTTTGATTTACTAACCTCTGACTGATTCTCAGAGCATTCTGTGTCAGTTTTCAGCTTTTCGTGTTCATCTCTGCCAGTTTCATTTCTCCGAATCAGATTTGTTTCCCTGCACTGGAAACATTCAAATTTGTTAAAACTGATTAATTTCCTGATGTGAATTGTTTACGAAGATAAACAGAAGCAAAAAGTTTTTAACGAAAAGCGATGTTTGGCTTAAGCAACAGCTGGAAGGCATTTAGTGGTAGAACATGTGCAGGTTTGGGTTTGATTGAACACACGTCGGTCTGCTGCTGCTGCAGGGCTGACTTCAGCAGCTCCACCTCCTTCTGTAGAGAGTCCACCTATGGCAACATCACACAGAACAGGTTTGTGTAGTTTTTCTGAGGTTTATTACAATTGGCAAGTATTATATTAAAATTGGAAATTCAGCTGCTGCAGTGCTTTTACACAAAGAACAAAACTCATTCATGAGGGAGCTGAACTGATTTTAGTCCCACATCAAACCATCATCTCTCTTTGAATTAAAGTGTCAGATTTTGTGAGACGCCGAGATTGGAGATGTCTTAAGATCATACTGTTTGACTTCAACTTTTATAAAACAACTTAACAACTTTGTTTAAACGGTCTACTGTAGTATTAATAGATATTACAGGATATGAGTATTACAGTGGGTGGTCTTAAAGTTGTCTGCATTTATATACTACTGTAGCAATAAAACTAATGAATTATGACCAATAAGATGTGGTGATTCCATATAAATATGAAATATCAATCTGATTGTTTTGAATGTTTAATCAGAAGATTCCAGGGTTCTTTAGGGACCATAAACACACTTTGTATTAATTCAGATAGTCAGGTATATAGTTTATAAAATGAATTCAATTATTTTTCCTAAACTAATGATGCATGACAAGATATGAATGAGATGTGATGTGGTGGATGTGAGGTGTTGTGATGGAAGCTAGATGTGGCAACCGTTCTTTGTATCTGAGAGAAATTGTGAAATCTGGGTGTAAAAGAATTTGTTGTTATGAACTAGAGAGTTAGTTATTGATAAAAACCTCATCAGACACCAGTATGCAGGCTTATGATACCCTTGTATGAGTAGCTCCTGGCGGTCCAGAGGGTTGCGGTCAGAGTGGTGAGGTCACCGGATGTTGAATCCACAATACTCTGAGATTAGTAGCTTCCTCAGTGTTCAGCTTCCCCGGCCATGAGATGCAACCCAGGGTCTGCAGGTTAGGTGTCCAAGGTGTGAAGTAGCTCTGTAAAGAGCTGTTGTGTCTGTAATCACTTGCAGCGTCACAGAAAGGTTTTGACTTAAAGTCAAAGAAGATGGTTTCAAAAGAGGCTTCTTTCACGATTTGTCCGAATCGGGGGGTCAGCTGGAAACTGAATTAATCTGGAAGTAAATCCTGTTTTGATAAACTCATTATTTAGTTTCTGGCAAATCAGAATGTGCCATGTCTGGAAGGCTTTACCAAAACACTCCTCAGAAAGCCACTCCTCCTTGCAGATACAAAGATGTTTTTAACACTGTGAATGAACATCTGTAACGTATTGTAATGTGTATGAGTACAAACAATGATTAACTTGTTAAATCAAACGCCTCGTGATTTTTATCTCGAGAGGCGCTATAGAAAAGATTTCTTCTTCTGATATAAATGGATAATTGTAAGAACATTATTCATTTTAAATTGATTTAAGCACAGGTTATTCAAACATTTGATTTAAACATCTTGTTCATTCATCACATACGATTATTGTAAGCTTATGAGTTGTAATGGAGTCTTCACTTGTTCAGAGTAAAGAATGTGGATGTCTGGCATTCATGCAGAGAGTGTAGGACCTTGGGAGAGAATGTTACTTTGAATGTTTTGTCTTCGTGGAATGTCGACACACGCTGAACAGAACCTTCTGGTTCTGGAAGGCCAAATAGAAAGTGGATTTATGCTGTAGATGAAAGGTTATTATGCGGGTCAATGTAGATGGTGAAAATTGACTCTTTTGGACGTTACACTACATGGGTGTGCGTGTGTGTGTGGGAGTGAGTGTGTGTGTGTGTGTGTGTACAAACAGTACAGGATGCAAATAAAACAAATTAGTTGCTGTGGCAACATTTCTCTGGACCATTTTCTCTTAGTCTCCGATTGGATTTACTTACGATTGTCTCTTTGCTCATGAGGTGTTGTGTCATGGCAGATACTTTTTCTTGTAAATTTATGCAAATTTTATTGCTCTGAACAAGTTCTGATGTTTTGTTCTGTAGAGAAAGACTGAGAGAGTGGCAGACAGACAGAAGAGCGAGAGGATAGTATAACATATTGTTCCTGGTGTCTGGTAAAACACAGTGACTATTCTTTAAATGAATGAGTACAACCCTTTAAACGGGTGTAAGCTAAAGGTCTCGTGATAAGACCGAGACTGCATGCTTCAGTATCAAACATTCTGATATTTGCATTACTTTGGTTACTTCAGCAACCTGGTTAGCTTTAGCTTGAACGGTGTGAAGTTTCTGATGCTGTTCCTGCAGAGCCGACTCCAGCTGCTCTGCCTTTATTCTTGGGTATCTAACCTGAGAAAAAAATAAAAACATTAATTTTATGGGATTCATATGGCACATATGTTCCTTTTTTTTATAGAGACAAGTTTAAACTCTGTAGATGTGTCTCAAATGCGTTCCCTGTTCCATTTAGCCACTCCCAACAAACAGCTGCACCTTTTCTTAAAGTAGCTGCACAGTCACTGTCACTCTAGAGGGTGTGTGTGTGTGGGTGGGTGGTGAGGGTGAGCAGCACCTTTTCTCACCAGTGCTTAAAGGAATATTCCAGCCGAACCGCCATAAAACACACACGCACACACACACAAAAGGACAGCGAGGGAAAACATAGGCACATTGCGTTTGCGCAGGAGTGACTAGAGCTCCACTGCTGGTTGTACATCTGTGTTTACAGAAGCAGTTTTGGGGGATGCCTTGCACCCTTTAGTGGAGGCTTGCAGCTGTGCTTAGTCAAAGTAGTCCCAAGTCTAAAATGTTGCCTGTGATTCATTTATGTTACTAATTGTTTTTCACTTGCAGTCAGTCGGATTATTTAGGTCACCAAGCAGAACTGGGATCACTACTGAGTGATTTTAAGGACGCTTTTACTCACAACGCTAGATGGATCCATTCACTTACTGTGTTTTATGCTAAGCTAAAGCAAAAGGAGTACAGCCGGGTCAGGAGACTGACTGGGCTGGTTTAAAAGTTTATTCCCACTTATCTAACTCTGGGAAATACGTCAACCGACAACATTTCATTTTTCGGCGGAATATCCCTTTAACTGGAAGAGTGGAAAAACCACAAAGAAGTGAAGAGCAAAATAAAAATAGCTAAATTCTCACACAATGGTTTAGCGTTGCACACGTGTCTGTGTCATACATGTCTGTAGAGCTGTAAAGACTTGAGCAGTATTATCTGGACTACACATAGGAGATATACAAGGAAGTACTTTGGAAGCTAGCCTCTAAATCAGTCGATGACAGTCTTCGGGTTCTGAGTAAAACACACACGCACACACACACTGTTTAGGTTTCATCATATAGACTAACCTCATCCGTTTCCTTGTGTGGGCGGACTTTTGTCTCCCCAGTCTGGCCCTCCTGCTGCTCAGACTTTAGCTTCTCCACCTCCTCCTGTAGAAACGCCACCTGAGACAGACACTTTCATCACAGTTCACCTTCACTGCTATAACTCAACTTGTTAAATTAGTAAAAGGTAAATGGTCTTTATTTATATAGTGCTTGAGTCCTTGAACCCCCCAAAGCACTTTACAAAATTGCAGTCACACACGACGAACCACACTGTAACAAAAGCTGCCGTGGGGCCCACTGACGGAGGTGGGGCTGCTGCACTAGACGCATAAACAATTTATTTATTTTGTGTTTATTTTGTTACAAACATTTGCCAGAATCTCTAAAAAGTTACATGACCAATACATGCCAACATTTTACTGTTGGAACAAATGTGTTTTCTGTTTTTATTGCTAGTAACTTAATAAAAAACGCAGTAAAATCGCTTGATGTGACATTTATAGTATGAGGCCCAGTGGTTTAAAACACTGTGTGAAGGTCGCAGCAGTGTTTTTATTTAATTTTTTTTTCACGTGAGTAATTTATACCTATGCACATCTTTTTCCTCATGAAAAAACAGTTGTGTTTTACCACCAGTGATCTATGTCAGATGGCTGCAGCAATTACCCTCCAAAAGCTGTTTCTCCTCAGCCCGCCTAAATAAAACACGTTTGGAGCCACAGCAGTTAGAGATGAAAAAGAGACCGTTTATACATTTTGATAAACATCTACAGAAGAGTAGAAATGAAAACCGTCTGTAACAGAATTCTGAAAACAAAAATCAGAACTCTAAATTGTTTCTGTGATCAAGTCATAAATCTTTTTTTTCTTCCATCATATCTATTAAGAGAGATGTATTGGCATTTAAAAAAACACCCTTAATTTTAGATTTATTTTGCACATAGCTGTGCACATTTCCTTTAAACAAAACGATTAAAGGAGATGGATCTTACAGCACAACCATGACTGAAAAGGAGCAGGAAGAAGACTAATCTTATACCTGCCCCATTCTGAAACATAAAAAACACACAAGGTGGTCCGTCGGTCAATTACCCTACGAACATCAATCAGTCAAAACTAGTATTGTATACTAACCCCTATTTTGTTTCTAATATTTGGTTTTAGACTTGAGGAATTAACATTTTTTGCAGAAAAAGATAAACATTGATTTTTTTAAAAGACCAAACTTACTGACAAACCGGTTTTTTAACCTTTGTTATATATATACCGTAAATCCTGTAATACAGGCCGGTATTCAATTAAAGGCCGGGTCTCCAATTATGGCCGGTGTCGGAGTCAGCGGAGGCAAATAATGGCCGGTCTCTTATTGTGGCCGGATGGAATGTGGTAAGCAAGTACGAGCGTCCCAGCGGCAGGGTTGTAGTCCCCAAATCAACCAGCAAGAGGCAGTAGAAGTTCACGCAAACCTTTTTTCGGCTCTTTCTTCCATGCTTTGTAACGCTACAGACACGATCCTCTATCACGCTCCTACCACACAGAGTCACGGTGTCAGTTAACCATGCTAATTCAACCCGCTCCACAGAACACACATCACCTTCCCTGTGGCTTACATAACACTCACACAACACGCAAATCAACACATAGGAACTAGCAGAACGATAGGAAACACATATAACATAATACCCAGAATGCACCTGGCTTACAACCCCAGCCAGGTCATTACACTATCAAGTTCAAAGAGAACGTGCTGATTATGCTGCAGAACACTCTGGGGAGCAGCAGTAGGGGGTGTATGAACTACAGTAATCCCTCGTTTATCGCGGTAGATGCGTTCCAGACCTGGCCGCGATAGGTGAAAATCCGCGAAGTAGGGACTCCCAGCATGCCCCTCGCGGGGATTCCCTTCACGTCGCACCTACGTCACAAACCGCGGCTATAAACGGAAGTCGCCTTTCCAGCTCACCACTCAGTCATCGTTTCTTAAGATTCACGATCAGAGTTTCCAACCTACCGATCAATCCAACGAACTATCAGCTCATAGTAAGTTATCTTACTTACTTCTGGAAAGCCCGGCATTTCCGTGTCACTTCGTTGACGCTCGAACGCTCGGGGGTTTCCTAGATCAGCCGGCGTTTCACCGACGCTATCACTTCCGCGTCTGTGAAACCACGCTCCCTATTGAATTATCGTATGATCACATTCTCTGTGATCAGCAACGCGCTGTGCCGGACCGTAGGTACTGACACGCGATCGTTCATGTCGGTTCATTTCCTTTAATGTTTTCTGTCTTTTAGTTGCGCCTGATGTGTATCGCTGCTGTGGAGCGGGGCGCTTCACCTTGTCCTCCGACGCACAGATCACAGCAGGGAGCGCTCAGCTGTTTTCACGGTCGGTAGATCTGCCTCCTGAGCATGGCCACAGTAACAATTAGGTGTCGCCACCTCAAAAACTAATTTAACACGCGATCGTTCATGTCAGTTCATTTCCTTTAATGTTTTCTGTCTTTTATTCGCGCCTGATGCGTTTCGCTGCATGCTGTGGAGCGGGGCGCTGCGCGCATCACCTTGTCCTCCGACGCACTGATCACTGATACAGCCGCCAAACAGCGAGTGCTCCGCTGTTTTAGCGGTCGGTAGATCTTTTAGAACTGCAGTTCAAAGGTAACTCATGAGGTGAATATATATGAACCCAGGTAGCAGTTTTTCTTTAGGATTGAGAGGAGATGCAGGAAGATAATAAACAGGCAGGACAGAAAAATAGTCAAATAAAAACAAGTTAGTTTTTGTACCTGCTGTTGCAACAACCAGACACCATTGAAGGTCATCAGAAGTGAGGAACAGAAAATGAAATAATTATTTTAATGTTTAGAGCAGCAGGAACTCCGAGAGGCTGCAGGCGCATCAGTGAGTTTGCAGCCGCTGCGCAGGGGGAGGGGGGAGAGGGCTGAAGCAGAAACTACCGTTGTTAAAAGAAATGTGTTTAACTTTGAAAATGTGGGCGCAATTTTAACTGTCAAAAACTCCAGCAAACCATTAGTTCATTTTGCTCAAATAGAAATAGAGGCCTGTCTCTAATACTGGCCCTCCTTCCAATAAAGGCCTGGAGCTTGATGAGCTTGAGTCAAATACAGGCCCGGGCCTGTATTAGAGGATTTACGGTATATATATAATCGATCACTGAGTTTAACATGCAGGTCAAATGTGGAAAATAGTCTTTTACCTCTATTTGCTGCATTAGCTGCCACCCACGGTAGAAAATAAACAGGGAAACTCAGACCTATGTCACATAAAAATTAGCATTCATGGACTCTTCCATCGTGGCTTGTAACGGGAAAGGCTGTGCAGAGCACGCCTCAGCAGCCAGAAGCTAACCATTAGCATTAGCAACTTAAAACCTGGCATAACTCCTCCTGGCTTTTGTTATTTGTGAAGATAAAACATCAGCGTTGCAAAGCAAACAGAATCAGTGTTAAAATTACGTTGCTGTTATCCAATCAGAGGTGAGATGTCAGAATATCAGGAAACAAAAATCCAAATCTCCAAGTCTGCTGCTCAGCACTGATCTGGCTCACTTCTAGCTCTTGAATGCCTCTGAACTTTTTTCCTAGCAGAGATCAACTCACGAGGCATTCGTTTATACTAGAGACCACTGCAGATTTGTTGAAAGAAACAATTGAACTTGTTTTTAAAGGATGTTGATTTTTTTAAGGAAAAAAAAAATATAATAAGCCCAAAATATGCTTAATACTAATACTTTGTGTCATTCTGTTAACATTCAATACAATTCTGAAAAACCTTAAAAGCTGCTTTAAACCTGCATTATAATATCTATACTTAAAACCACGAGTTATCATTTCTAACCAAAGTTCTTAAGGGCCGTTGTGGAAGGTCCAAAGGTAGATGCAGGCGGTAGACCCCTTACAAACATGTTTAGATGAAAGGTTTTTTTTTTAGAGACTACCTTTGTGCCAGCGGGTAACTTACCGTCTGCTGCACGGCATTTTTCTCAGCATCCAGGAAGCGAACCCTGTTTCTTAAAGCTCTGATCTCATGGTCTAGACGATCATTCAGCTCTTTAGTCTTCCGCAGTTCTGCCATTTCTTAAAAATGAATCAGTTACAGACGTATCAGATCCCACGTGTTCACAAACTCCACATTAATAGATTTGCATTCATTTTATTTAACTAAATGACACACTTGCAGTGAAATGTTTATTTTAGGTGGAGATCTGACTGTTTTAGGGCAAAGCTTTTGTGTGTCAGTGTGTTGCCCTTTAGTAATACAATAGTAGCGTAATTAACACTGACATCTTTAATCTGAGTTTCCAGTGAACTGTCATGCATCCCCATTTATGTTCCTCTCCACACACTTACACAGAATTCACACACAAAAAACTCACCATATTTCTTCAAATGTTCTACTTCCTCTCTGAGGTGATCCACTTCCTGCTGTGCTGACTGCAGCTCAGGCTCTGAAACCCAAAGCTATGATTAAATTTACAAAATACTTAGTAAATAATAACTAAGTCGGTTTCTTTTGTCTCACAAGAGCTGTGAAAGACACTAATTTCATGCATGGTGTTATTGTGTCCTGTAGTAGTTTCTCCATTGATATTTGATTTGGAAACAAGAATAAAAAGAAAAAAAATCATCTGGTTAATAACACCAGAAATTGCTACCATAGGCCTTTTGGGTGAGATGAGCAGACTCTAGCTCATCAGTCAAGCGTCGGATCTCTTTGTGGGACATGGCCAGTCTCCGGGAACCCTCCTCCACATCCCGCTCCAGGCGGGAACACTGCTTCTCCAAACTACAGGCTTGACCAGCCAAAGATGTGGCCTCAGGCTAGAAGCAGATGAACATAACAGCTGATTGATGAATCTGTCAGGCAGTAGTTTTAGACCAAGTTTTAAAAATAAAATACAAAAACAGTTACCATGTTAAAACTATTTTAACAGACCTAAGGGCTATTTTGTTAGTATTTACTGGATCATCATCAAATATATACATACAGGCATAAACGCATGCCTGCGGTGGAATCCAAATAGTCTCTTCCAGGCGTTCTGCAAATGTTGTGGTGCTCTCTTGTGGGTAGACTGTCAAACAACAATTCAAAAATACAAAAATTTTAAAAAGCAAGTGGTGCACTTTAAAGGGGCATTATGGAAGTTTGACAGCCAAAACATGTATATAAATAATACATTTCTTCTTCATACATTCTCCTGCAATGTCCTGGTCCTGTAGAATGAGCCCTGGCATTTTTACTGTGATTGCCTGTTTTTCTGTAAAATCTCAGAAAGAGTTGAATTGAGATGAGCTGCTCGGGTCGAGCAGGCTGCTTCATGCGCGTTCACGCTCAGACATTGCCCGTAGCATTTGCTATCAGTAGCTTTAGCAGCAGAGTGTGAGGTAGTGCCAACTCAGCGACTTTGTCGCTGTTCCTAACGCCTAGTGATGAACCTAGCTACATTTCTGAGGACCCTTAGCTACTTTCTTCTAGATATTTCCTGCAAATTAGCAACAAAATAGCCACTTTCGCTCTGAACCGTTTTTTGAACGTTGTTTTAGCTGTAATCAAGGATATAAATATTACAGATACAAAAAAAATCACTGGCGCTATAGCTCACCGAGCTGGTTGTCGGATTCTCGTGCAGGAGACCCAGGTTTAATTCTGGGTGAGAACAGTTTTTTTTTTGTTTCTTTTTTACATTAATGGTATATTTTTTTACAGTAAGATGCCCAAATTTTATTTGAGACTCGGCAAACGGCATTGAATTCACAAATAAAAAAGATGTGGGTTCAACTTTCATTTTGGAACAATTTTTCAAGCAAGGGAAGGGAATGATCTGAGCATGCAGGAGGACTGACCCATCTTAAACCTTTGTCGGCTGTGCTGAAGAGAAAGGTACAGAACCAAATTATTTAATTAATTAGCTGCGCGTTCTCCTGCCCTGTGTCCTCCGTGTGAAGGTGACCCCCGTCAGCTTCAGAGCTTCGTCTCAGCTGTTATTTTCGTTAAGGCGTGTGCACGTACAGCATGCGCGCCTCGTGCACGAGCCTCCTATTGAAACTGCCGTTACGCTTTTGGCCAGAGGGGGCAATCGCGAGCATAAAAATTCAAAACTCCGTAAAGTCCCTTTAATGTATTTTAAATAAATACTTTATAAATTTGTTAAGCAGTATTTTCATAAAAACTCAAAGTAAAAATTGTACTGTTTGAAAAAACATTTAAACGTTAAATGTTCTTTATGAAGCTGAAGTCCTTCATATGTTTTTTTTTTCTTTTGTACAGTGGTCTTAAAAATTCGTAAACATTTTCCAAAGTGGTGCACATTTATGCTGCTTGTCAGTGAAGGCTCTTGAAAGAAGACTAACCTCCATAAACAACGAAATGTACACAAAAATGCCACGCAAACCAGTTGTTACTCTTCTAACCTGGCAGACAGCGGCGTTCACTGCTTGTGTCCCCGAAGAGCTTTGGAGGTTTCCATCACCTGACAACTTGGAAGGATCTTCGTTGGTTTCCAGTAAGGAATCCCTCTCCACTAGAAGGTAAGCCACCTGTTCACTGGGACTGCTGTGAATCAGCTCTGTGAGACCTTGCTGGTACAGCATCTTAGCCACCTCACTTATCTGAGCATCTATAAAAACGGAGGAACAAAATTTAAAAAAATGACTATACCGGTATTTGAAATATCTGTCAGTATGTCTGGGGCAGCAGTAGCTCAGGTGGTCGAGCGGGTTGCCTCATGATCGGAGGGTCATGGGCTCGATTCCAGCTACCGCCAGGGGTATTCTGCTGTTGTGTCCTTGGGCAAGACACTTCACCCAACTTGCCTGTGTTGCTGGTGGTCAGAGGGGCCGACGGCACCAAATGGCAGCCTCGCCTCTGTCAGACCGCTCCAGGGTGGCTGTGGCTACAAAGTAGCTTATGATAACTGGCAGTGTGTGATTGTAAGAGTTCACACAAGCGTCTTTGAGTGTCCTAATAAAGCGCAATACAAGTTTGATCATGATGATGATGATGATGATTATTCATTATTATTATTATTATTATGGGGATGTCTTGTTTGGTGACACAGAAATATTTTTTACCTTGAAGTGATATCAAGTGCTGCAGCTGCTTCCTGAGCTGATCATTCTCATCTTGGATCTCTTGAGCTAAAGCATCTTTTTGCTCCGTAAAGATTCGGATCTGCCCCAGAGATTTCCGTACCTTACAGACAGAACATTACAACGTGTAATTATGCCCATCTCAACATTTCCCCTGCCATCTGAGGTCATTTAAGATTGGTAATTCACCTCGGCCATTTCTGCTAAGTGTTTTGCTCGGTTCGTTTCCAGGTCTTTTGTCACATTGCTGAGACGTTTCTTTGTGTGCTGGAGCGTGAGCCACATAAAACACAGCCAGTCCTCCTTAGAGGAGTTGGGAGCGAGACCTTCTTCACTCATCCATGAGGAGATCTGATCCAACACCTGAAATAATAATCCACATGTGATTAACATTTAACTTAAATCTAAAACCTGTGAAACCTATTGCAGAATTTAAAATTTTAACGCAATGGTTAAAACAACAACCCCACTTGTCTTTATTAAAGATAAAGTCCCATTAGTCATCACACACTGGTGAAATGTTTTCTCTGCATTTGACCCATCTCCTGGGGGGACCAGTACGCTACAGACAGGACTGCGCTCGGGGACTACTTGGTGGTTTAACCCCCAATCAAACCCCTTAATACGAGTGTAAAGCGGGGAAGCATTAAGTCCTATTTTTAAAATCTTTGGTATAACCCGACCGTGGATCTGAACCCACGATCCCCCCGTCTCAGGGATCCAATTCAATTAAAGTTTATTTATATAGCGCAAAATCACGACGAGTCATCTCAAGGCACTTAACATAATAAAACATTCCAATACAGGTTAGTCTATTAAGCCAATCAGAAAAAAGTTTCCTATATAAGGAACCCAGCAAATAGCATCAAGTCACTGACTAGTGTCAGTGACTTGATGCAATCCTCGTACTAAGCAAGCATGCAGTGACAGTGGAGAAGAAAACTCCCTTTTAACTGGAAGAAACCTCCCGAGGATCCTGGCTCAATTTAAGCAGCCATCCACCACGACTCACTGGGGATCGAGAAGACTGAGAAGACACACGCATACACAAACACACATCCACACACACACAGCATATATATCAAGTAATGTTTCTATGGTTACATGGTGATTTCTTAGTAAATATTTGGTGAGAGATAAACTTTATTGTATTTATCCTAGTGAATCTATAATTAAACGGGTAAACTAGTAGTAGCACATTCAATGTTAAAGTAAAGCGTTATCATCAGGAGAGGGAGAATGTTTAAGTGGTTAGCAGCAGTGTGCTAGACGATGGCCCCCTCCATGAGGGTACCACAGCTCAGCAGAACATCATTGTAGCTTCTTCTGGGGAGAAAAACACTTAGAGAAAAAATAAAGTTAACAGCTGAAATAGCAGTCAAAGAGCAGATTGTAGAATAAAGTAGTCAAGTGTGGAAAGTGGTCAGTGTATCCTCCAGCAGTCTAAGCCTATAGCAGCATAACTGCAGAGATAACTATGGATAACCTAGCCTTTTAGATGGAGGCATGTTGGAGGCAGGACAAGGGAGAGCCGTCTTTACCGACCGTACACTCCACCTCCCTCTAGCGACACTGATACCACTAGGTCACTGAGCTGGTTTCATTGGTTAATCACTAATGTTTTCTAGGGATGGACCTAAAAATCAGTTGATCGATGTTTTGGTCTGATATTTGAGCTTTGGGAAAGCTACCACACACACACACACACACACACACACACACACGCACGGACGGACAGATCGATCCTGAGACCGATCAAACCTCAGTGCCCGCCTGGATTACTGCAAACAACAACCAGAGCTAGTGAGCTACTGCAGCATCCCAGTCGGTCAGGAAGTTATTCTGGTAATTTACAGATGACCTTTTTTCCAGAGTTATATCACACAGCAGTAAAACTGCCAGCACATTGTTTTATTTATCTGTAGATTATTGAATTATTTCAGGACAGTATGATGAAGCACGATTTTGGTTCTGAAGACGTACAGAACCCTCCCCAGTGTTCAGATCAGCTCGTGGGTCTTTTGAGTCAAACATTCTCAAACATGTCTGCACCTTAGCTAGAAGGTGGTCGGAGTTCGGTTGAACTTCTCCGGTAATCCAATATCCATTCTCATATGCCAGAAAATAAAATCTATCTGACCGACTAGCAGAGGTTTCAGAAGCTACGTTTGACTAATGACAAGTTGTCCTCTGCTATAATGCTAATGCAGAAACACTGGAGATCTGCTACTATTCACACTAGTGTTTGTGGAGCGTTCCCAGCTGGTTTGGGCTCAGATCGTACGTGATCTTCTGTTTTGAGAGCGCTATTTAAAAACCCTGGATTATCTTAAAAATCCAACCATGAAAATCCAAAAACCTTCATCAGCTGAGGTTCACACATGCCATTCAAAGGAATTTTGCACTTGTCTGTGCCATGTTTTGGTTTAAAGCCAAACTGATCCTGTCAAGAATACTTGTTTCTAAAACTTTAGGTAAAATCCTGTTCATTGCAAATGGCCTATAATAGTCTAAACCGCTTACTTTTCCCACTTTCTCCTTAATAACAGGGCAAGCAGAATATGTAGCATGGAGTCCGGTAATATACCATGCATCATAAAAGCGGTGAAACAAAAAGCTAAAAGAAGAGCTAATCATAAACTAGCATATTTCAAATGTCCTGCAGTAATATGATCTAGTCCAGAGGCTTCATTACTAGATAATTGCTGCATGCACCTCGCTCCTCGTGATGCTTATGGGGTCATTCATATTATCCAAGTCATCCTCATACAATTCATTATTCATACAAATGAGCAACATATTATAATGCTGTCATGTTGTCAGCTACAGTAACCCCTTCAATAGCACACGGCAGAGCTATTAAGAGCTCTTTTATCCTTCCAGAACATTTTCCTGGCCATCTCATAGTTAGAAATGAATCAAATTGCATACTCAAATCTAGCATTGGTACTTTTCTTCTGTTAAAACACAGGCCTAGGTTTCCCAGCCAAGGCCAAGCCCTAAAAGTCTCATCCTGATAAGCAGTCACATATTCTTTCCAACCCCACACCATTCCTATAGAGCCTTCACGATATCATCATGCATGAAACAAAAGTCATGCCGATGCTCCGTGTTCTCACATTTTGGTATCTGGGTTAACCGAGATCTAATAGCTGTGTTTCCATTACCGGAACTTCAGGGTCATTTCTGGGAGGGGGGAAACTGACCAGAACATACGATGTCCTGGTCTTCTCAGCTGTTGTGTCTCCATTCAAAGGTCCAATCCCCATACTCGCACAATTTGCATATAACAGCCGAATTGGGACAGTGAGCATTGAGTCATTGACCACATAAATCTTTCATAAATCTTTATCCAGGACTCTAGAAGGTGCTATATCAAATACAGGGTTGTGGGGGGCTGGTGCCTATCTCCAGCAGTCATTGGCAAACAGGCGGGGTACACCCTGGACAGTTTGCCAGTCCATATCAGGGCAACACAGAGACACACAGGACAATCAACCAAGCGCACACACGCACACACACACACACACACACACACACACACACACACACACACACACACACACACACACACACACACACACCTAAGGACAATTTTAAACAGACCAGTTCACCTGACAGTCATATTTTTGGACTGTGGGAGGAAGCCGGAGAGAACCCATGTGTGCACAGTGAGAACATGCAAACTTCATGCAGAAAGACCCCAGGCCAGGATTTGAACCCAGGGCCTTCTTGCTGCAAGGCAACAGTGCGAAAAACTGCGCCAGTGCACAGTCCAAATAAAAATCAGTCCTCTTAAAATGAGCTTATTTCATTTGAAAATACATGTTTTCAGAAAAGGCACTTGAGCCTTTGTTCCACCTTCTTAAAATTCCCACGCAGCAAGCCCACATCGATGCAAACTTGGGCAAATTGTAGACCAAGGGTGCAGAAGTGGCGTGGTCAACTTCTGCACTTGAGGATCGGGACACCCTACACAAAAGGCGTCCACAATAATATTAAACGTTTTACTCTGTTGAAGTGTATCCTCCATTCAAAAGATGAGAGCAGCTGTGTGATGTAAAATGTGGCGTTCAATGACAATGTAAAGCTCACCTTTTTACAGAGCTTTGGGAGACAACAAAACCCCGTAAACCTAGCTGTTGTGGGGGAATCCTGTGTTGGGAGTTTAGTAAAAGCAATTTTAAAGCAGCATAATCTGTGCTTTTTTTCTTTTGCTTCCATTCTGCTTCACAAGCAATACTTCTAATTTTACTAATGCCGGTTGTTTTGAACAGTGTCTGCTGATGTCACTTCCTTCTGAGTTACAACCAATCAGCATGAGTTAACATAAGGTTAATCTCAGCCACTGCAACAGGCCGTTCCGAGTACCTACCCCTGACCAATTACTCAGAAAGTTCTTGAAAGTGGCCCAGAAAGCGTCCGTTCAGCCAACCCCGTCAGGTGGAGACACGTGCATGCCGGGAGGTTCCTGTAAATTTACCCTGAAGTTCCAGTAGTTGAAACGCACCAATTGTCTGAAAGATCAGCTTTAAAATGAAACATAAACACAATAAGTACTGTGACTCTGAATAACTGCATTAATAAAAGTCAGTTCTCCTTCATTTCTAATATAGAATAGTAACACTGAGAATAATAAACTATAGTTATTCTGTGTAAATTGTAGTCTGATCATCCAAACTGATTGGCTTCATATATATTTTTTATCCCACAACGCAGCTAGGTTTTTGAAACTGCATTTGCGACTCTTCTGCCACGTAGTTGTGGGAGAACAGCGGTTTGGTTTGTGGAAACAGCGGTCTCCGTTACAGCCGTCTCAGACAAAGAGTTGCACGTTGTCGTTTGAGGATATGATGGTTTAAAATATTTTACCACAATTTCTGTCTTTTCTTTTTACATCATTCTTTAACAGGAACGCAGAGAGAAGACATTAAACGCAGTGATTTAATGAGGCTGACGAGGGTTTTCTAGCTTTAAGGGGGAGTTTAGTTCTGTACCTCTGCTTGGTCCATCTGTCCTGTGTGTAGAAACAAGTTTCGCTCGAAGCGAAAGTTCCCACCGCTTTAAGTTTTAATGAGAAAATGTCCAACACAGCCCCAGACAGTCCACTGTCCCTGGAACATGAATGGTTTCCTCCAGTAGGAACATCGCTCTAAACAGATGTTTTCTCCTCGAGCTCCGTTAGGGAACGCTGAGGGAGGCGTTCACTGAACATCCGTAAATCTGTGCGTTCTGAGAGTCGGACTCTGCACGAAAATGAAAGCTGTTATATTGGATGACACTGTGCCGTATACTCTGGTAGTAATCAGGATTACGGGAATGTTATTAAAATTCCGTGATATACTATTAGTTGTATTTTTTCCACTTCAAGCACTGCTTATGATGAGGGAAGATTCTCGCCACATAATCACTTGCTGTCCAACATAACGAGATTAGCACTTTCTGATGTCAGTCAGCCACAGACAGAAGTTGCAATCGAGGCGCGGTCCAGTGCGCACTCCGATGCAGATTAAATAGCTTCTGGTTTTGCAACAGATTATAAATCCGCGCTCGGAATCATAAACAGTTTCTTCCTACATGAATAACCCCCACCTGCTCCTGGGGGTCAAGAGGATCCCCACGTCTGTGAAATCCATTAAGTAACCTACATCTGCACACCTGTCCGCATCCGTTTATACAGCAAATAAGGGTAAGGGTTTACAGTGTGAGATTTGGGGTTAAATTTGTGATCAATAAGGTGTGATGGTTCTATATAAATATAGAATATCACCCTGAATGATCTTTGAATGTTTAACCAGAATCATTTAGGATTATTTGCCTAATCAGGGACCATAACACACTTCGTATTAATTCAGACAGTCTAGGATATAATTAAAAATAAACTTTATTTTCTAGACTAATTATATACATGACAAGCTTGAAAAACTTAATGTGATGGTTGGAATATGACGTATGATAATGGAATGGTGTGTGATGTTTATTAGAACCTTGTATCTGGAAAAAAACTGAGTTCTGGGTGTGAAAGAATTTGGTCTGCTATAAACTAGAAGTTGGTTATTAATAAAACTACATCAGACACCAGTATGCAGGTCTACCATACCCTTGTATGAGTTGTTCCCGGCGGTCCGGATGTTTGCGGTCAGATAGGTGAGGTCACCGGACGTCGAGACCACGATCCTCAGAGATTAGTAGCTTCCTCTGAGTTCAAGCTTCCCCAGCCATGAGATACAACCCGGGTCTGCAGGTTAGGTGTCCAAGATGGATGTCTGAGAGTTGCAGTAGCTCTGAAAAGAGCTGTTGTATGTAATCACTTGCAGCTTCGTGGCAAGGCTTTTACATAAGGTCAAAGGAGGTTGTTTCAAAAAGGCTTCTTTCCCGATTTGGCCGAATCGAGGTTTCCGCTAGAAACTGGCTTAAGTAAATTCTGGCGAATCAGAATCTGACATGTTTATTGATGTTTAACATCCCTCAGAACCACACCTTCATCAGATACAAGAATGTTCTAGTTCTGTGAATCTTTATGTGCAGTGACGTTAACTTTAACCTTGTGTCATATGTGTATGGGAGTATGGTTGATGTCATGTCAAGTATACTGATAAAATAAATGGATCATTTGCACGAACAATATTCATTTCAGCTTAATGGATTTTGCACAGATTATTCAAATATGTCATTTAACCATATTGATCACATCATTCATTCATTATTTTAACAGTTAACTTTTATTCTGTGAGAAATCCAGCAGTCTGAGATAAGGGGAAAGCTATTGTCCGAAGACCTTGGAAGAACACTTTGTTGACAATCTCATGTCCTGGAATGTCAGCAAGCACTGTAGGATCTTTCTTGGTTCAGAATATCAAAAAACACACAGAAGCAGATTTATTCATGTGGATTAAAGGGTCAGCATGTAGGTCAAAATATAGATGGAAATTGATCCTTTTTGGACCTTACAGTAAAACAATGATTTTTTTTCATTTTATGATTTTATTTTCATTTGAAGATAGAAAGAAGGAATGAATACTCCTTGCTGTTCTTGCACCCGAAGCACATCGAATGATCTGTATGAAATGGGCTATAAATGAAGATGCTTTGCCTTTTCTCTTTTTCTTTAACGCCTCACCCATTTTTGTCATCTCCATTTCCTCACTGTACAATGGACCGGCTGTAGACCTCCACGACTGTCTTTGTTGTAGACAAGATCTGGATACTGCAAGATGAAAACTTCCCACAGGTAGGAAAACAATATTGGCTCAAATTTGAGGATTTTGTGCACAGCTTGCCTTTGACAAGGGCAAGGGTCTTTAAAGTGGCTGTGTGTAGTTTCCTGGCGATAGGGGGCAGTACACACATTTCAAGGTAGTTTTACACCATATCACCATGACTGTTGCTAGTTTAAAAATTCATTACGGTAAATGTTGTTACCTGTGCAGCAGAAAGCATGCAACTTCAGCGTGGCTCCTCAGACTTTGATGGTCATTTGCTTAATTTCATCAAGAAAGTGCAATGCTGATTCTAGTTCTGTGGCGTTGTAGTTTCCACATCTGCTCATGGTCTTGCGCCTGCCAATGACGTCATCATACTGCAGGAATACCACTGCAGGAGTAATTTCCCCCAGGGAACATTAAAGGTCTAACTTTCTATCTATCACCCATCCTTTAAGCAAACAAATGTCGCTGTGCCAGTGCGACTGGATGACTGCTTGGGATGTCCCTGCCCACACCCTTCTGCCTCTTCATTGGCTGGCTGTGGGCAGCCTGTAGTTGAGCTGAGTGGCTGCACATGGGTGCAGCTTAAAAGCCTGCTTTAGAGATCAGAGTGATTGTGGAGATCACATCAGGAGCTCAATTGCCCAGAGCTGTATCTCAGCCCTGTCAGACTGGGAATCCAGGTACAGCACCACTGAAGAGTCTGGTAATCCGATGGGTGAACGATGCCCTCCGGCTTCATCTCCTGGCCTGGCCCTTCACTCTCTGTTCAGACCAGGCTCTGCTACATTGGCTCCACTGCATGAAGGAGACCAACCAGCCTTGGTCCTAGGGGTGGGTGTTTAGGAGAGGAGGGTAAAGGAGGCAAAGAGGCAGAAACTGCACTAGGTGCACGGAGGACATCAGCTGGAGCAAACGAGTAATTAGATCTCTTCACTTATATGCATGGACAGAATGAGCAGAGGCACCTGCAGGTAATCGCTTAGGGCCACAAGGAGGCCCCAGAGGGCCAACAAGCTTTGGAGACACAACCACAACACTAGTGAGACAGTAAAAAGCTATCATTTGACTGCACTACTGACTATCTCACACTCGCTGACAGGGTCCGTTACCCCTTGACCAATCAGCACCGATCCACCCCGCTCAGACGGAGATTCTCCGTCAGAGAAGATCCAAACACTCGTCAACAACACTGATCCAGTTAAAACTGTCAAAGGCTCGTCACCACATTTACCAACAGTAAAGACATTATTCCAGTTAGGAAGAACATAAAACCAGTATTCCTCTGTTTTATTCTGAGGATTCTTCAATCTATGACTGAACAATTGTCTGAAAAAAACCTGTGAAGCCAAAAACCTTATAGGAGGTCTTTCTGTCTGCAGATACAGGTGGATTCCTAAAGAATGGGAATATCATGTAAAAGTTCATTTATTTCAGTAATTCCACTAAAAATGTGAAACTAATGCCTGAAATGGACTCAGTGCATGCAAAGCCAGATATCTCAAGCCTTTATTTGCTATAATTAAAAGTATTATGGCTTACAGCTTAAGAAAACCCCAAATTCTAAATATTAAACAAATAGAATATTATATGAAATCAATAAAACGAGCATTTTACCACAAGGGTCGGTATTGGGCCCTAAACTATTTATCATGTATATAAATGTCATTGTTGAGGTATCCAATATATTAAAATGCACCTTATTTGCAACTTTTTATTATTCAGGAGATCATACTGCGGGAATACCACTGCAGGAATAATTTCCCCCAGGGAACATTAAAGGTCTAACTTTCCATCTATCACCCATCCTTTAAGCAAACAAATGTCGCTGTGCCAGTGCGACTGGATGACTGCTTGGGATGTCCCTGCCCACACCCTTCTGCCTCTTCATTGGCTGGCTGTGGGCAGCCTGTAGTGGAGCAGACGATAGAAGTGATACAGAGATGAAAAAATTAAACTATGGTTTGATGGGAGCAACCTATCATTAAACAGTGATAAATCATGTTTTATGATATTTAGTAATAAATATTCAAAGGTTGAAATTTTATTAAATATAGATTAGATTTATATTTAAAGGGTTAAAGAAGTCAAGTATCTGGGAGTCATCATTGATGAAAAAATGTCCTGGAAACTGCATATAAACAGTGTCAAAACTAAAATATCTAAAACTATTGCACTGTTACATAGAGCAAAATGGTTGCTTGATAATAATTCACTATATTTGTTGTATAACTCACTGATCATACCGTACCTGAACTACTGCATTGAAATCTGGGGAACAACATATAAAACTTACACAAATTCCATTTACATCTTGCAGAAAAAAGCTATAAGAATAATCACAAGGAGCAACTAGAGATCCATCCAATCCATTATTTATAAAATTAAAAACACTAAAATTCTATGATCTGGTGGACTACAATATTTTAAAATGTATGTATAATGCAAACAAAAGGAACGTACCTGCAGGTTTAATCGAAAGATTTACAAAAAGACATAGTAAATATGATTTTAAAAAACATGAATTATTTAATATACCTAGATATCGAATACTCATAAAGAAACATTGTGTGTCCATATATGGAGTTAAATTGTGGAATAAATTAAATACTGAAATCAAGAATGCAATAACAATATTGACTTTCAAAAAATATATTAAAAAAATGAAATTATTAACTTGTATAGATCCGTTACATAAATGCGTGAGGGGGGAGGGGGGTTGGGGGGATGAAATAAAAAATAAAAAAGGAAACAAGTCTATGTATTCATGTGTGTATATATGTATGTATATAGGTCTATAACTATGATTCTTTCTGTGTAACTTGTTTTCTCTCTTCAAATCATGGGTTGAGATTGTGTCGCCAACCAGTCCAGACACTATATTGTTCAAATTTTTTAAGAATCGTATGATTATTTCATTTGTATCAATGTAATTTTAGTTAAAAGGGGCAGATAACATAAGTTTTTCTGCTTTCTGTCCCCTTTTTCATTTTGGCTTGTAGCAATTTAGTTCTGTATTTTTATTTTAATGTCAATAAATGAAAATAAAAGATGAAAAAAATAAATGAAAAAAATGTCAGACTGGCTGATTTTTTTTCTGCAGAGACATGCAGAGGCTACCTATATTCAAGTATATATTCAGCATTCTCATCGTTTTGTGCGTCGTTTGCTTTGCACTTCAGTCTGTTCGGTAAGTGCCAAACCACGTCTGCCTTTAACAATTAACTCGGATATTAAATTGTAATATTCAGTATACAGGTCACAGAAGTAGCAGACGGTCAACAAACATTTGTTACAATCAAACTGTTATTAACAATTTAATCTGCATTGACTTTTTGTTTCATTTCAGGCTCTTTATGCTCCTACCGATGGCAAAGTGTTGTTTGGAAAGTACAAAGATGCTGACCGAGAATGACGCCGCTGACACCGCTCTCAATCTTCAGTAAGAACTAAAACTCTTAAACTTTTAGCTGCATGTTTCTCAGCTGGCCAGCGGGCTCAAGTTTCTGTGGAGATGGAGGTCTGGGCCTCTCTGCTTGGGCTCCTGCCCTTCGTGACTCGACCCCGGATAAGCAGATAAGAATGGATGGATGGACATTATTTGAAGCTCACTACAACTCCCAGCATCGCAATTTAATTTTAAATTTAAATTATTTCCATTAAAGTTACTGTAGACTGAGGGAAAAAAGGATGGGGTTTTAAGCACATAAGCCCTCATGAATTAAATATTCAAGCAATGATTGACTTTCAGTCAAATTTTAAAGACTTTCTTCGAAAATCTAGCACCAAAAACGGAAGCAATGATCAGAGGTTAGTTTGGCCACAAATGGACATAATCTCAGAGAAGCACCCAATTTTGTGAACTGAGCAAAAACAAATGTTTTGCAGTTGGAAGGAGCAGGAATTTTATTTTAAAATCTGATTTCTTTTACAGAAGAGGAAAGTCAGTCACATCTACGTCTCCAGCATCCATCTTTTTAATCTGCTTCTATCTCTCTGTATACTGACCCCTAGTGTTCAGAGCACAACACTGTCACAGTGAAACCACAACCTGGAACTCATTTCAATGATGATGATAAATGACCTGCACTTTTGTAGCGCCTTTCAAAGTCAGAGGACCCCAAAGCACTTTACATCCATTCACACACTGATGGTGGTGAGCTACGATGTAGCCACAGCTGTCCTAGGGCGCACTGACAGAGACTAGGCTGCCGACCACACGGGACACCGGTCCCTCCAAATGCCATCAGCAGGCAAGGTGGGTTAAGTGTCTTGCCCAAGGACACAACAGCAGAATTCTTTTTTTGGGGTCAGGATCGAACCTGCAACCTTCTGATTACTGGATAACCCGCTCTACCTCCTGAGCTACTGCTGCCCAACTGGAAGTCTCTGTCATGAACAGTAGAACAAAATTTAGATTAACAATTTCTAAATCAACATATAGAATTAAAGACAAATTAACACATTGTTAGTTTTAATACACAACCATGTCAAAATGACTGATTAATCTCGTTATTTTAGGTCCCGGCCTGATGTGCAGACTTGCACATCCTGGAGAGCTCCCATCATTTGGGAAGGGATGTTTGACCCCGATCTTTACGACCAGATCCACAGAAAACAAGGATCTTCCGTGGCATTAACTGTGTTTGCAATTGGCAGGTCTGTTTTCACTTGCATTAGCACCGTGGTTGTTTCAGTAAATGTATAAAACCTAAACCCTCTCTTTGGCTCTAAAGGTACTTGGATGCTTACCTGGAGGCCTTCCTGAATTCATCAGAACATCACTTCATGTTGGGTTTACCGGTGTCGTATTACGTGTTTACAGACACACCTGAGAAAGTCAAGAGCATCAAACTCGGCCCTCAGCGAAGTCTTAGAGTGATCCAAGTGCAGAGACACACCAGGTGGCAGGACATCTCTATGATGCGAATGAAGACCATTTCAGACACCATAGAGTCAGATATTCGGCACCACTGCACACACGTCTTCTGTTTTGATGTGGATCAGGTGTTTACTGGGAGATTTGGGCCTGAAGCTCTGGGAGATTCTGTTGCTCAGCTTCACGCCCACTACTATCGCCTTCCAAAGAAGCTGTTCACCTACGATCGTAACCCAAAGTCCCAGGCGTTCATAGAAACCGGGGACTTTTACTACCACGCTGCTGTCTTTGGAGGATCCTGGAAGGACGTGAAGGCCTTGACTGAGGCGTGTTATAAAAGCATCATGGAGGACAAACAAAACAACGTGGAGGCTTTGTGGCACGACGAGAGTCATCTAAACAAATACTTCTGGATTCACAAACCGAGCAGGATTCTTTCTCCAGAGTACTGCTGGGACACCAGCATCAGAAACAGGACTGACATACGGGTCTTCAGACTCCTGTGGGCACCAAAGCACTATAATAAGCTGCGCACATGAGCTCTGGATCACAGGGTTGCAATAGTGAATTTTGGTGAATTTTAGATTCCTAGATTACTTTTTGCTGCCAAAAACATTATCAGCATCAGTTGTATTTCATTTGTTTTTATTTTATTTAATTCAGCATCAGTTTAATTTAATTTGTTTTAATTTTATTTAATTCAGCATCAGATTTATTTCATTCAAATACTGTTTTTTTTCTTTTGTTTTAGAGTATTTCAAAGGTTTAATATTTGAAAAAGTTTGGAAGGTTTGATATTACAAAAATAAATGTAAACATTTCATGATGTAATCAGTGTAACAATTTAACATTGTAATATGTGCTTTTTATATTTGTAAATTTTGCACTCATAAATAACAATTGTTTTGTTTTTTGCATGCACCAGTGCCTGAGAGGAATCTAAATTCATTAAATTGTGCTTTGAAAATAGCCTGAATAAAATTAACTTAAGCAATGATGTACTCTCCAAAAGCAGCTGGTAACAAGTTATTTCTGTTTTCTATTCAATTTAATTATTTTGTGTGATCCTAAACACAAAGCAACCGAAATTCAAAAGATGGATCGAAGAAGCAATTGAGCGAAGGAGACGTGGACCATGAGGGATGTCAATGTCAAGCTGATTTATATAGCACATTTCCAACAATCAGAGATTGCACAACGTGCTGTTCAGTCAACCAATAAAAAATAAAATGATAAAATGCTGAGAAAAATCCAGTAGACCCTATGTAAGATAAATGAACAAATCAGTTTTTTATTTAAAAGCAAGGGTGAAAAGGTAGGTTTTTGAAAGAGACTTACAAGTAGAAAGACTGTTGGCAGACCTAATCTGTAGGGGAAGGCTGTTCCAGAGCCTGGGAGTGGCCACAGAAAAAGTTCTGTTGCCTCTGGACTTCAGCCTAGACTGGGGAACAGATAAGAGACGTAGAGTGGAAGTTCGAAAGTTTCTTTTGGGGACATGAGTGTTGAGTTCTGACGGATAGGGAGGGACCAAATTGTGTAGTGCCTTAAAACAGAGCAGTAGCATTTTAAATTGAATCCTGTACGTGATCAGGAGCCAGTGAAAAGCTTGTCAGAGCAGAGTTATGTGATCCCTGCGTCTCCTACCTGTCAGCAAGTGAGATGTCGCATTGTGAGCCACCTGCAAGCGGTGAATTGACGACTGCTCCAGTCCATGATATAGAGAGTTGCAGTAGTCGAGTCTCGACATGATTAGCAAGTGTATAACCTTTTCAAAGTCTTTAATTAGCAAATAGGGCTTGGCTTTACTAAGAACACACAAATGAAAAACACGCTCTGGACCACAGAACTTATCTGTTTATCAAGCTTAAAATGACCATCAATGAAAAAACCCACATTTCTTGCCTGAGACACTCAAAAGGATTCTAAAGGGCCAAATACACTGTTTACCCGTCCCCGTGCAACAACCCAGGGTCCCCGAAAACGACAAATTCAGTTTTTTTGTCATTTAAAGTGAGAAGGTTAAATTGTAGCCAGTTTTTAACGTCTTTTAGACAATTCAGTAATTTATCAAACGATGGCCTTCGAGAATGTAGTGGGACATACATCTGCACGTCGTCCGCAAAGAAGTGGTATGAGATGCCATGCTTATGAAAGATGGTGCCAAGGGGCAACATATACAGTGAGAACAAGAGCGGGCCCAAAACTGAACCTTGAGGGACACCACAACTAAGTTCCACTGGAGACTAACAGCACTGCCCCTTAGAGTATAAAGAACCACCATTCGTCATGATTTTTGACAGGTCTATTGTTCTTTGAACTTTGTCCTTTCCCCCAAACCACCTTACGTCAAACTTGACAGGTGTATTGTTTTATGACCTTTAATGACCCTATATGTCAAGAAATTATTTGATGACTGTTGTGTAATGACGCATGAAGTTATTGATTGTAGTCCCCTTGTGTCAAGATGTATATTAATGATCTGCTTTGATGTATTCAATCTGCACTACTTTACGTCAAGTTAGGATTCATAACTCTTGTGTTAAGAGACCTTACCCCACAGTTCCCACAGCCCCTCCCTTTCATACGTATTACCCCACATCCCTCCCTCCAACCCTGCTTGCCTCATTAAAAGCTCTGATCCATTTCAGCGGACAGACTGAGAACGTATCAGAATGGTGGAAGGCCGAAGAAATACCTCTAAGAAAATGGTGAAGCAAGAGGAGATGGATGAAGTGTCTACAACCGATGCTTCAACCTCTACCCGAGAGGAGAAGGAGGTGAAAGAGGAGAGCGTGAACATGCCATCGCCGCTATCACAGACCTTGCTCTGTGAAAAATCCATAGCAATCCATCAACTGCCTGCAGGGGGTGGTGCTCCCCGCAAATCTACATTCTACATGTGTAGAGTTCAGCTTCCGCCTTTTGGTGGTAAAGAGTCCTTGGAGCAAATATGGCCACTGGAACCTTATGGCTATACCAGTAGTTTTGGGTACCGGTTCAGCTATGACACTAAGGAGCTGTGTCTAATCCATGATGTGGCCGAGGACTAACCTCTCAAGCCATATTTATCACATTCAGTGGTTCTCTCCTACAACGACTGGGCAGTGCTCAACCTCACAGTTCCACAGAGGGTGTACAAAGATGATAGTGAGAGACCTCGTCCAGCTGTAAAACGCAACAGGCCGCAAGCTCTTCCATCGCTGGATGAAATCCAGAACGCCGTGATAGCTTTCAGCGCTTCATGGGAGGGGCTGGAGGATGCGGATGGGCAATGGATTTTCAAGGCCTCTGTCCGGGAGAAAGGGTCGGAGCTCTTTTTTGTGCTGGAAAATGTGCATGCTAAATGCGGTATTTACCGCCTTTTACAGGTTGTACCTTTCGAGGCCTGGTGTGAGAAAATAGATGAAGTGGCGGTTCATATCACTTCACTTTTTTGTACCAGCCACTGCTGGAAAGACATTCTGACAGTGCGAAAAAAGATGGAATTCTAAGCCCCACCTCGGGAGGAGGAGGAGGAGCGGCGGTCGCATCATCAAACCACGCCCCCATCACTAGTAATAAAGAGCTTCCAGCGAGAAACCATTTCATCCCAGACGATGGCATCCCATCATGCCAATCAGCATGATGGGTTTCTACACTCAGTCAACCCTTGATGAACTATGGGCCCCGAGATGCAACGGCAGTCCGCAGCCCACGTCACAGCCACCACCATCATGCTTTCGGGAGGATAACTTCCCACGGCGCCCCACAATCATGGAGGTTCCGGAGACCGTCTCTAACGTACCATTCAGACCCTGGATCGACGAGACTCCAGTGAGTCCTGATACTCCGCATCCTTCAGAGACATCAATCCCTGACCCGCCACCGGTTTCACCTCAACCTGCTCGGGAGGAGGACGGTGTGCAACAGCAGCAGCAGCAGACCCTTGACATCCAGAGCACCGGTGAGGAGCCTTTACGTCTGCCTGACTGGGTGTTTTCAGAAGACACGGTGGACCGAGTGAAGATAGCGCTTCTTCACTTGGTCAACATGGCGATCAAAGCTCTCCTACCTACAATCTGTCAAGGATGCAAGATCGATCACCCCAGTCAGCAGCAACACGAATGTCTACGTGGCTGAAAATGAATTATTTTACGATTTTCACTTTTCTGACATTATCAGCAGTGTTTTAACACCTAAGCTGAATCCGGCTCTTCAAAGTTTTCTCACTCTGCATGACTTCCAGCTGGACGCTGAGATTCTGTTCACCATGGCTTGATGCAGCTACACAGATTCAGGGCTGTGATGCCCATTCACAAAGACATTTTTCCAGTGTACGATCGCCTGACCAAAGCTCACCTGGATGCACTGGCTGCGGTGGTGGAGTGAACTGTGGGGGGGTACGCTGTCTCTTCTGCAACTTGTTTATTTTTTATTATAAACATTTCTAGTAGTTAACCATTAGATTTTATTCACATATTTGACTAGGCCGTGAGGCTGTTTGTTACAGTGCAATTAGATTTTATATTTGACTAGACCGCACAGTTGTTTTTTACAGTGTGATTAGATTTTATATTTGATTAGACCACATGGTTGTTTTTTACAGTGTGAATAGATTTTATTCCTTATGTCTGACTAGCTTGTCACATGTACCTTTATGAAATAAAAAGAAATAATGAGCATGAATATGTATCATTTTTTTCAAGCATTCGTCAGAGATGGAGGAGGTAATGAAAAAGGTTTATTTTTCACCAAAACATCAGGGTAGTTATGGAGGTGTGGAAAGGTTTAGAACCGGTTTACGAGAGATTGGGGAGAAGGTTTCATCGGATAAGGCTCGCGATTTTCTCAGAACAGGATGCTCACACACTCTGCAAACCAGTAAGAGTTTGTTTTCTGAGAAATAAGGTTTTTGTCTCAGGGTCACTAAAGCAGTTTCAAGCTGACTTATGCAGCATGTAGGCCTTGTCAAAATCAAACGACGGTTTTAATTACCTATTAACCGTCATAGATGTATTTTCAAATTAGTCCTGAAAAACAAATCAGGGAAAGATGTTACAGAAGCTTTTGCTTCAGTTTTGAAAGACAGTGGTACCCCTAAAAACTGCAGACGGATGTTGGTAAAGAATTTTTTAATAAGAAATTTGATGCCCTCAAGAAGAAACATGGCATTGTGCACTTTGCCACAGCCAGCAGCGTAAAGGCCAGCATTGTGGAGAGATTTAACAGGACTCTAAAAGGTAGAATGTGGAGATATTTCACAGCCAAAAACACCCATTGCTACATAGATGTGATTCAAGATTTAGTATGAGGTTATAACCATAGAGCTCCGGACGTCACATGACTCTCAGAGAGTAGACGCCATGTTGGCAGGCAACAAATGTAAACAAAATGAACGGGATCAGCTTGGATTTTACTTCGTCGGAGATTACTTCACACTTTAAAACCAACTAAATCGTTTTATATAGTCGGAAATTAAATAGACTAAACATCTCTGACCCTTACCGTGCCCCTGGGATACTTTTTAAAAACGCCAGAAGCTGTCGGAGCGGACTTCTTACCGGACCTGGCCAGGGAACACCTTGGGATTCCCCCGGAGGAGCTGGCCCAAGTGGCTGGGGAGAGGGATTCCTGGGCCTCTCGACGCTACTGCCCCCGCAACCCGACTCCGGATAAGCAGATGAAAATGGATGGATGGATGGACAAATAACAGATTTACATGTAAGTTGTTTAAATAGAGTGCTGTGCTGTTTGAATGTATAAACTGAACGCCAAGAGAAATCACTAGTTTGATTTTTTTCCGTGAATAAAATAAATATGTCAGGCAGGAGCATCTCAGGATCTGTCTGAGATCTGTCTCGGTGAGACAGATAATAGCAATCCAAAGTGCTTTTTATGTGTGATCTGACAATTGATCAACCATTGCTTAAAAATTTTATACAGCTTAGCCGGTTAATTGCTGTGATCATAAAACACGTAAACGGCAGCATGCAGAACTCACGAGGCAACGT